TCCCAGTTTTATTCTCCTCCTTGTCCCGCCTACACTTCCTGCCTGGCCACTGGCCAATCAGTGATTTATTTATTGACCAATCAGAGCAACATATTTGCCATACAGAACATCCCACAGCAGTGGGGTGGCATGAGAGAGGGCCTGTGTACCCTGTGGCTCCACCAGGCCCTCAGAAGTTGGCCATCCTGGATGCCTGAAGCCTCTAAGACAGTCCCCTGCTTTCCCTCCCTGCCCAGGACCTGGGCTTCTGAAAGATCTCAGCACTGGGCAGGGCAAGATGGCCAGAAAGGGAGTCAGATGTCCCACGGGTGAGCCGGCAGGGGGGCAGACAGATGTCTCAGAGGCCACTCTGCAGTGTCTGTATGCCTTTGCCCTCTGCCTTCTGCTCCCACCCCCATGCTTTGGTCCTGGAGGGAACGGGGTGCCTAGGCCAGAAGAGAATACAATGAAGAGATGACTGGACGCTTGCACTACGCTCAAGGGCCAGAGTTGGCCGTGGGCCTGCCCTGGGTAACAGCACTTTCCTGTCTCCCACACCACAGAGGAAAGCAACCTTTTCCTCGTCTGTTAAGGGGACAAAGCAGGATGGACGACAGGTAAGAGCACCACCGCCCTGCCTAATGAGAAATGCGCCTGGGGGCCATGCTCCCCACAGTCAGCCCAGTAAGGCCCGTGGAGTGTGGTCTCCCTGTGTCTAGAAGATATTCATGGAAGAACAAGGCCATGTCTTGGCCGGAGACTTGCCTAGCCTTATCTGGAACTCAAGGGAAGTTAGGTCTATGGTATAAGAGAGGATGGCAAGATGCCAGACTGAGGAGGCGTGGTGGGCTCTGGAGGCCTCTTCCGGATGATGTCACATAGCCCCAACCCACCTTTCCAAGACTGATAAGGAAAAGCCTGTTGGAAAGTTCCCACAGAAGTCCAGGCAAAGGTTTTCTAGGTCCTCACTTAGAGCAGGGCTGCTTTGGTGGGTTCCAGGATCTCTAGGTATCCAGCATCGCAGTGGTCCCTTTGTCCCCATGGGGTACACACACCCCTTGGAAGGCTAGCTGTCTGTTCTGAGGACACACAAGGTGGGCTAAGGTAACATAGTGTACTTAGGTGTACGAAATGCCTTTTCAACTTGTAATCTTTTTCAACTTATGGTAGGCTTATTGGGAGTAGCCCCATTATAGGAGAAACATGTATGTATGCACTAGTTATGAAAACTAGACCAAATATAGACACGAGACACAGGATCATTACTGCTGGCTCAGGTAAACGCCGGCAACCAACGGCTCTTGATCAGACAAACTGGACTCTCCCAATCTCCCTCACTTGGAATTCCCAAGATCAGCCAGCACCCACCCAGGCTTCAGTTCTATTCTTTTACTGCCCCTGAAGGAAGGTTTAGCGCATGTGTGGTGGCACGCCTGTCATCCCAGCACTCGGGGAGATGGAAGTCGGAGAATCAGGAGTTTGAGGTCATTATCAGCCACACAGTGGAAACCAAACAGGGATACATGAGACCCTGTCTCCGAAAATGAAAACAAAACAAAGAAGGTTCATCACTGAAGGAGACAACCCTAGCCTAAGGCAGCACAGACCTGCCTCAGTCATTGCTGGGGCCATCTTGGTGGGAACAGACTCACTATAGGCCAGGAGATGCTTCCAGGCCAGAGAAAACAAGCACGAAGTTTTGCAAGAAGTTTTGCAAAAAGGCACTTACACTGTGAGCTGGGGTGTGTCCCAAGACACACAGATGGGCAACCCCCCTACATCTGGCTGCTCTACTTCCACCAAGCCCAGTCCTGGGCCAGGGCTGCCGCCAGGGCTCTCCACACCCTTCCAGGCATAATGCCAAGAAAGCACATGGCCTCTTCTTTTTCTTCAAGACAGGGTTTCTCTGTGTAGTTTTGGGGCCTGTCCTGGATCTCGAACTGTAGACCAGGCTGACCTTGAACTCACAGAGATCCCGAGTGCTGGGATTAAAGGCATGCGCCACCACACCCAGCCCCCCCCCCCCTTTTTTTGATTTTGTTTGTTTTTTGGTTCTTCCTTTCTTGATTGCTTTCTTTTTTGCAGCAGGTATGTCCATGAAGACAAGCACCCATAAAGCCAGCTAAGAATTCAATTTTCAAGATGGCAGCACCTCGAGAAATGATTGCTTTTTAGTTCATTCAGACAGATACTATTACCCTTTTGTCTGAAATATCCCTCCTGTTTGGACCAGTGAAAACACAAGGAGACAAGTAAGAGAGTAAGAACCGTAAATTGTGGACATCCGCCAGGATGGTTCTTGGGGGAAGCCCCCACATCGAAGTTCCCGGCACTAAAGTGCCAGCTTCTCCATTCATACAACTGGCTGCCTTGTCCCCTTCTAGCAACAGCAGGGAAGAGGAGACTACAGGAAAGGGCATGGGTGTCTGACTCAGTGGCAGAGTGCACATCTGGCACACACAGACCAGGCCTGGGTTTTGTCCCGAGTACTGAAAAACAAACAAGTCTAAGGCCATTCTCTGTTCCTTACCCCTGAGGTCTGTCAGTCTCCATGGATACACCTCCTCCCGTGGGAAGAGCAGCCTGGCCAGGGAAAGCCCCCAGTGCAATTAGAACTGGGAGTTCTGAATCTGATTTTGTGACCCTGGGCAAATTAATTAGCCTCTCTCTGCCCAGTTTACCTATCTGAAGAAAGGAATCTAGTCTCTAATTACTGCAGTATGAAATGAGCTATTTAATATAAATGGTACACATTATAGTCCCAGGACTTAGGAGGCTGAGGCAGGAAGCACTCTTTCTGGTTTGCTTGTTTGTTTTTTGAGGCAGGGTTTCTCTGTCTAGCCCTGGCTGGAGCTCAGAGATCCACCTGCCTCTGCCTCCTGAGCACTGGGATTAAAGGTGTGCGCCACCACTGTCCAGCAAGAAAGTACTTTTGAGTAGGAGTTGGAAACTAGTCTGGGCAGCCTACTGCCCTAAAAAAATAAATTTGTAGCCGGGTGTTGGTGGTGCATGCCTTTAATCCCAGCACTTGGAAGGCAATGGCAGGCAGGTCTCTGTTGAATTCAAGCTCGAGGACCAGCCAAGGCTATACAGAGAAACCCTGTCTTGAAAAACCAGAAAGTGCCCTCCATGTGCTTACCAGGCACAGAAAGCGCTGTGTGGTATTTGACCACTGCCACCCTCCACCCTGCAGCTTCAATTTAGCTGTCTCCTTCAGGCCTGTGACTATGGGGAAGGATATATGTGGCTTCTGAGGGTGGCCAGCCAGGCAGAGTGGCCAGAACCAAAACACTAGCTGCCCTCCACAGCCACAGCCTGGCAAATGGTGGCCAGAGATGCAGCCACAGAACAAATGTCCAATGACCACAGACCCATAGCAGGAGTTTCATACAGACTGCCAGTCTCAAGCTCACATCCAGGGAACCACCAGATTCCACTGTATCCCTGATGACAATGGCTGTGTGGCCTTGAACACAGCCTAGAGGTAGGTCCCCTATCCTCAACCTCTCACTAGAGAGGAAAAGGGCAGCTGGAAATAGCACACACCGCCCTTTCAAAAGGTCTAAAAGGCTGTGTCCAGGCACCCAGCACTGTTGAACCGTAGGATAGGCTATTCTTACATGCAAATAAGAGGAACCAGGTGACCTCAAGCTGTGAACATCGCCTCTCCTCCCCCAGCATCCTCTGCAAACTGCCCTAATCGCCCCCTTTTCAGGTACACCCTCAACTCATCCTTCAGAGCCCCCTGAACTCAGTGGGTGAAATGCCCGCTAACCCCAGCTGTGACAAGCCAACCCCAATACCATTCCTTTCCTAGGCGAGAGTGCCGGGAGAGGCGAGGATTGGTACAATTCCTGCCTACCTACACACAATTCTCCCTACCTACAAAACTTTGCAAGAGCTCAGCCCTCTCAAGGGTTGAAGCCTCTGGAACGCGGGAACACTCAAAGCTGACGACTGCCAGGGTTTGTCCAGGACAGCGCGGCGCAAGGGCTCAGGGGAGCACTCGGGACTTTGAAGTGTCAAGGCTGGGTGGAGATGGAATGTGGAAAGAAAATCCACATCATTCTTGCGGTTTCCCCGCAACTCCCTTCCATAGTTAGGTCACCCGAGATCTGGTCTCAAGGCAGTCTTCCAGGAAGGGCAAGCAAGCCTGGCCTGGCACCAGACCAGTAGCCTGGGAAAGTCGGGGAGGCCTGGGTTGGGTCCTCAGTCTGCTCTTCATTACTCGCTTATCAGATGAGGGCCAATCTCATTCCTACAATCGATGACACCTGGCCTTTCAGTCCAACTACTCACAACAGTTCCATCCTGACTCACCCTGGTGCACATTCATTTGTTGAGGATATAAATGAATGAATGAGTGCGTGAACGAGTGAATCCTTGTGGGCCCAGCCACTTGGTGGCTGAAGGCTGCATATTTCTTCTAGAATCCTATAAGGTTATTTGGCCAACCATTCAACAAACTTTTTAAAAACACCAGCAGCCAGTCTCTACCCATATTTTCAAACCACTTCAGGTACTGGAGACGCGGCAGGGGGCAGCCACATTCCCAGTTTAGGCGCCCACAGATGTAGGGAAGGTGCCCTTCCCTGGAGCCCAAGGTCTGTGCTCGGGTTGGGGTTCAGAGTCTGTCGCGGGGCCCACTTGTGGGCTGTAGCCGTCCCTTGCTCATCTTGGTGGGTGGCCACGGCAGAGCGCTCGCCGGAGCCTGCCGGTCTACGGGCCCGTCTTCCCCTCGCCGCGCGCACCTGCCCAGTGGAGCGCGACCGCGGGGTCCCGGGTGCACCAGGAGGCCTGGCCCGCAAGCAGACCAGGGCCAAGCGCGCGTCCCGGGCCCTCCCGTGTCTGGCCCACAGCTCCGCGGTGGCACCCGGCGGCCGGCGCCCCCACCCCGCCTCCACCAAGGCGCAAGCGCCCCGCCACCGCGAAGGACCGAACGGATACCAGACTGAGCTCGGCGCCGACCCCCGCAGGGGAACGCAGGGCGAAGGCGCGCCCGGGAGGGTGGGCGGACTCACCAGGCAGACGCCGCGGCGCGGGGAACCGGCCGCGTACACGCCGAGGCTGGGCTCGCCGGCCGACTGATACTTTAAGGCGCGCAGCGCGCCGCACGCCACCTTCCTCTTCTCGTGCCCGCGGGGGTGGCGGCCTAGCCCCGCCCCTCGTGCAGCCCCGCCCTCCGGATGCTCCGCCCCCTGCCTGGCCGCAGCCCGCGGAAACCTGAGGGTCCAGCCCTTCGCTGCGGGGGACAGGAAGGAAGGTTCACCCAGAGCCCGCGCGCGCCCCCTAGTCCCCAAAGCCTGGGCCCCCTGCCTTCATGAGGATGGGTGTCATACCTGATCCTGGCCTAGGAAAAATGGCATCGTCTTAGTTCAGAGCGTGGTTGTCACACTCAGACTAGTCGCCCTGTCAGAATCGGGGCCCATCAGAGATGATGGGCGAGCGCTTCCTAATGTTTCTCATAGGCAGCCGCTTTCAGACCCCATAAGCTGTTTCGGGGGGTGGGCTTGTTTCCTCAGTCAATGAAGGGGCCAGCAAGGATGAAAATGTGACAAGAGTCAGGTGGATAGCAGATAATGCTACCTAGTCCCCATGTCCGGAGAGGCCCCAGTGCTATGCTTAAGTGCCGGCCATTACCCCCAAAAGGACACGTGACATTGACAGAAGAGAAAGAGAAACAAGAAAGTGAATTTCTGGGAAGTAAACAGGACCAAGAGAATTGCTGTTTTTGAGCAGAGAAACTGGACCTGAGAAGACAAAGGAGGTGAGCACCCAAAGTCACATGGTTACATTAGCATAATACAGGGCAGAGATTTTATTTTATTTTATTTTATTTTTATTTTTGGAGAGAGGGTTTCTCTGTGCAGCTTTGGAGCCTGTCCTGGAACTCGCTTTGTAGACCAGACTCGAACTCACAGAGATTCACCTGCCTTGCTTCCCAAGTGGTGCTGGGATTAAATGGGCATGCGCCACCGATTCCCAGCTACAGGGATGTTCTTTTGTGTGTGTAAACGTTTGCTTGTGCATGTGAGTGCCAATTTGAGAGCGCGTGTGTGTGTGTGTGTGTGTGTGTGTGTGTGTGTGTGTGTGTGTGTGTGTGAGAGAGAGAGAGAGAGAGAGAGAGAGAGAGAGAGAGACTGAAGGCCAGAGATCAGTGTCTTCCTCAATCACTCTGTACCTTATTTTTTTGAAACGCCATCTCTCCCTGAACACAGAGCTCACTGACTTCTCTAGGCCAGCTAGCCAGTGAGCTCAGGAATCTTCCATTCTGCCTCTCCAATGATGGGATTGTAGGTATACATAGCACCCTACTTTTTACATGGATGTTAGAGAAATTTTGAACAGAAGCAGCTTCATTAAAATAAATATATTTCGGCTGGGCGGTGGTGGCACACACCTTTAATCCCAGCACTCGGGAGGCAAAGCCAGGCGTATCTCTGTGAGTTCGAGGCCAGCCTGGGCTACCAAGTGAGTTCCAGGAAAGGTGCAAAGCTACACAGAGAAACCCTGTCTCAAAAAACCAATATATATATATTTCCTCCAGAGGGGACTGGTGTGAACAGTGAGGACTGGTGTGAAGGGGGAATTTCTCACCTGGATATTTGAGATCACAGAACAATTACCTCGGTGGTCCCAGCTCCGTACTTTCTATGGCAGAAAGGAATAGGGATGGGCTGGAGTGGGAGAGAGGGAAGGCTCTGTGCTGTCTGGCACACACTCTCCACCCAACCAGCAGAACCTGGCTCACACAAGCTAAATGTTCTTTGTCCCTAAATATGTCTAGGATCACACAGACTCAATCATAGTCTAGAAGTTGTTTGCAGGATCTGGATGCATATCCTTGGAGGAGTTTAAATTCTAACAAATTCCTATAACTAGGAAGCCTTTCCACCTTAGCACTACTCGGCTTTCACTCCCACCACTTCAGATCACTGACTTTTTAGGGTAGGGGGAGAGTGCTTAAGACAGAGGTTGCTATGTAGCCAAAGCTAGCCTAGAACTATGATCTTCTGGTTGCCAAAACTTGTACGATGGATTGTATATCTCTCTGCCCTCTGATACGGACCTCTAAAAGCAGTTTCTCTCTTTGGTGACTCAGAGCACCAGTACAAACAGGGCCTTCTCAGTTATGGCTCAGGTAATGCTATTGCGTGAATCTATATCCATTATGTAATAAAAAACAAAGCCTAAGTACACATCCATAAGTGTGTGTTCCCCTGGATATGGCTGTGTCTTAGTTACTTTTTTATTGCCAGGACAAAACAGTATGACCGAGACACCTTATAAAAGAAAGCATTTAATTTGGGGTTCACGGTTCCAGAGGGTTAGCATCTATGACCATCATGGTGGGGAGCATGACAACAGGCAGGCATGGCGCTGGAGCACTAGCTGAGACCTGTATCCTTGTCTGCAAGTAGGAAGCAGAGAGAAAAAGCTAACTGGGCTTGGTGAAGGCTTTTGAAACCTTTAAGCCCACCCTCAGTGACACACCTTCTCCAACAAGGTCACACCTCCTAGTCCTTCCCAAAAGGTTCCACCAACTTGGGACCAGGCATTCAAACTTACGAGCCTGTAGGTACCAGTCTTAGAAACTGTTTTATTGCTGTGAAAAGACACTGTCTTAGTCTGGCTTACGATTGCTACAATGAAACACCACGACCCAAAGCAAGCTGGGGAGGAAAGATTTGTTTGGCTTATGCTTCCACATCCATAGTCTAGCACTAAAGGAAGTCAGGACAGAGACTCAAACAGGGCGGGAATGTGGAGGCAGGAGCTGATGCAGAAGCCATGGAGAGGTGCTGCTTACTAGCTCGATCATCATGGCTTGCTCAGCCTATTTTCTTACAGAACCCAGGATCACTGGCCCGGGGATAGCACTACCCACAATGGGCTGGACACCCCCCCCCCCCCCATCAGTCACTAAGAAACTGACCCACAGCTGGATCTTATGAAGGCATTTTCTCCATTGAGGTTCCCTCCTTTCAGATGACTCTAGCTTGTGTCAGGTTGACATAAAACTAGCCAGGATATACTGGGTGATGGTGGTACATGCCTTTAATCCTAGCACTGGGGGGGGGGTGGGGGTAGATGGGGGCAGACAGGTGATCTCTGTGAGTTCGAGGACAGCCTGGTATACAGAGCAAATTGCAGGACAGCCAGGGCTACAAAGAAAAAAACCTGTCTTGAAACACAAAAACAAAAAACTAGCCAGGACATACACAATGACCAAAAGCAACTGTTACCAATAAATAAATAAATAAATAAATAAATAAATAAATAAATAAATAAATAAGGGGCTTGCTTAGTTCATTATCATCATGGCAGAGAGTGTGTTGGCACACAGGCACACAGGGTGCTGGAGAAATAACTTGGCGGAGTCGTTTCTTGCCTTCTACCGTGTGGGATGGAACTCAGTCATTAGGCTTTGTGGCCGGTGCCTACCCCTCTGAGCCATTCTTGCCCGCCCCACCTTGTTTTTTGAAGCAAGGTCTGTCACGAGGAACGGGGGCTTACTGTTCAGGGTAGGCTGGCTGGCCGGTGAGCCTCAGATTGAATGAAGCACACAGGGCTTTTTGTTGTTGTTGTTTTGAGACATGGTCTCCCCGTGTTGCCCTGACTGACCTGGACCTCGCTATGCAGACAGGCCTGCCTCTGCCTCCCGGTGATGGGATTAAAGTTGCGCACCCCCAGGTCTGTGTCTGCTTCATACTTGGCTTTTGAGTGGATACTGGGGATCAAACTGAGGGCATCTTCAACTACACAGTGATTTTGAGGCCGGGCACATTCCTGGCACCAGGGTGTGGTTGTAAAGCCCCACATACCTTTCTCATGGTTCGTGCATTTATAGTTTCCATCTGTGGGAAAAACAAGACGAGGATTACTCAAGGGTGGTTATGGTAGTTAGGACTCGATGTGTAAAAGAACACAACTCCCAAACAGCTAGAAAGCACTTGAGAAGGAGAAGAGGGGCTTAATAATTATGAATAATCCCAATACTCAATTTGATATGGTTCCATGAGTCGTAACACCCACGAGGAAGGCCACACCTGGATGGGACAGTACAAATACTGAGCAGTGTCCCCATGGGTCACTGTGTGGTTAGACAAGATGCATCTGGTAAGTAGACGGCAGCAGGGTCTGTGGAAGAGCACTAAAACCCCTCCCTAGGTGGTCGGGAGGAGTGTGGGAGCAGAAGAGCCCAGATTTGGGGATATTTTCACAGCTCTCTCCTTTGGTGGCCTAGGTTCAATCCTTCAACAGCCCTAGACTCAGTTCTCCCATCAGTCAAATAGAGATAAGCCTCTAGGAGTCCTTCTTATCAAAGGAGGTCTTAGTGTACCTCAGAGGCATGCTATGAATAAATGAAATATATAGAAAGTGCTCACAGAATGTGGCTGTAAGCCTGTTATCAGGCTCCTGCTAGCTCTGTGTGGGGTGGTGGTGGGGGTCAGAAGGCAGGACTCTGCTGGGGGATGTCTTCCTGTATGCTGTGAATATATGTTGTTCCCATTGGTTAGTAAATAAGCTGCTTTGGCCTATGGCAAGGCAGCTTAGAGGCAGGTGGGAAATCCAAGGAGAGAGACAGGAAGGAGAAAGGCAGAGTCGAGAGAGACACCAGTACCGCCAGGAGAAGCAAGATGTGAAAGTACCAGTAAGCCACGGCCATGTGGCAACTTATAGATAAATAGAAATGGTTAAGTTATAAGAGCTAGCTAGTGAGAAGCCTGCCATCGGCCATACAGTTTGTAAATAATATAAGCCTCCGTGTGTTTAAATAAGCTGCTTTGGCCTATGGCAAGGCAGCTTAGAGGCAGGTGGGAAATCCAAGGAGAGAGACAGGAAGGAGAAAGGCTGAGTCTAGAGAGACACCAGCCTGCCGCCCAAGGAACAAGATGCCAGCAGACTGGTAAGCCACAGAACATGTGGCAACATAGATTAATAAAAATGGGCTAATTTAAGATATAAAAGCTAGCTAGCAAGAGGCCTGCCATAAACCATATAGTTTGTAAATAATATTAGACCTCTGAGTGATTATTTTATAAGCTGCTGTGGGACTGTGGGGCTGAGTGGGACCCAAGAAACCTTTTGACTACAGGACTCTATGTGCAGGGGCCCAAGAACAACTATGGGCTTTTTTTGTTTTTTGTTGTTTTTGTTTTTCGAGACAGAGTTTCTCTATGTAGTTTTGGTGCCTGTCCTGGATCTCGCTCTGTAGACTAGGCTGGCCTCGAACTCACAGAGATCCACCTGCCTCTGGTTCCTGAGTGCTGGGATTAAAAGCGTGTGCCACTGCCGTCTCACACACCTTTAATCTCAGCACTCAAGAGGCAGAGGTAAGCAGATCTCGGTGAGTTCGAGGCCATCCTGGTCTACAGAGCAAGTTCCAGGACAGCCAGAGCTACCTAGCTAGTGAAACACTTTCTCAAAAAACCAAACCAAACCAAACAACCAAACCAAACCAAACCAAACCAAACCAAACAAAAAACAGTGTCTCAAGCTGGCCAAGAACTCCATATATAAAGTCCAGCATGATCATGAACACATTTTACATTTGCTTCTTTATAATACATATTTATTTATATATATTTCATATTTGTATATAAATAAATTGTAATGAAAGGCCAGAGGATGATGACTAATCTTGGTTGTCAACTTGACCACATCTGGAATCAACTAAAACTCAAGATGGTGGGTAAGCCTGTGGTGGGATTATTTGAAGTGGGAAGATCCACTCCAAATCTCAGCCACGCCTTGTGGTGTCAACCCACATTAAAGGACATGGGATAAGGAAGCTTTTGCTTCTTGCCTGCTTGCCCTGTGTTCCTCTGCCTGTCAGAACTCATTTCTTGGGGTTCCAAGGTAAGACCGAAGACCAGCAGCTCTCCAGGAATTCTCTAGGACTCAGGGCCAGCCTGGGACTACTCCAGCGTCTGAGCTACTGCCAGATCCCCACCTTTCCATTGCCAGCCATCCACTGCCAAACTACCTGGACCACATTCTATAAGTAATCTAATACATATTCATTCTGTCCGTTCTGTGCCTTCGGAGAGCCCTGACTCATACAGAGGACAGCTTGCCGGGGTCAGTTCTCTTCTCACCACGTGAGTTCCAGGAATTCTCACCCTTGTCATCGACAGTGAAAGACTTACCCTCCTGGCTCCAGACTCCTCAGTGCTGGGACTACAGGTGTGGGCCACTAGATGTGCCTAGGAAATGAGTCTTGTATAATAATAATAATAATAATAATAATAATAATAATAATAATAATAATTATTATTATTATTATTATTTCAAAACAGGGTTTCTCTGTGTAGCTCTGGCTGTCCTGGAACTTGTTCTGTAGACCAGGCTGTCTTGGAGCTCAGAGATCCGTCTGCCTCTCCCTCTGAGTGCTGGGATCAAAGGCGTGCGCCACCACCGCCCGGTTGTAAATTAGTCTTTTAAAGGACCAGAAATGGGAGCCTGGAGAGACGAGCTTTCTGTAGTGCAGGTGTTCGAACCCAAGGCCTCGCACAGACTAGGCAATTACTCTACCACTGAGCCCTCCACCTAGCACTCCCCCTTAGGTCACGGCCTGCCAGCTGTCCTTCAGTCCCAGCAAAACCTCGTGAGCCCCAGAGCTTCTGCCAGTCTCCCAACCTGCACTCCACCTCACCCTGTCTTGGTAATTAGCGTTTCTACTGGGTGTTCGTCTGTCTCCACAGCCCCAGTGCCTTCTCCTTCCCTGCACAGGCTCACCACAGCTGACACCTGGACATTTCCAGCAGACCCACCACCCCTGGGCCTGAGGGGCGGTGTCAAAGCTTCCTCTGTCCCAGCGGCCACTTTTCACCTGGGTGAAACACGGACAGCAAGCTCCTGCTCCAACCACAAAGCGGCAAAACAGAGACAAACGTGTAGGTCGGTGAGTCCGGGTGTGTGCAGAGTACCCTCCAAACTTAGTTCTCTTCTAATGGCTCACTGAGGACGGCCTCGGGATGCAGGGGCTCCTAATGAAACACCAGACCAGCTCAGGGAAGTCGATGAGAGCTCATCCATCAGGACCGCGGCATCCTCCCAGGCCCAGGCAAGGCCACCAGGGCTGTCTTGGGACACAGAGGAAGGGACAGGCCAAGCTCAGTGGACATTAGGTTGCTAGGAAACCAACAAGTGAGAGCAAGGTGCCCAGTGCAGCGTGGGCTGAGGGAGTGTGCTGGGGGCTGGGGAAGCAGTGGCTGTCCTCAGGGCTGCTGTCTGCCCTGGGTGTAAGAGTGGGATGTTGGGATCCAGTGCTACTCGGGTCACAGGACCCACAACAGCTCTCCCTTCTCGCAGATACTGACAGGTGCCTGACTGTGGCACTGTGCTGTGTGTGGGTCCCTAACTGACAGACTCTGGGGTGCTAGGATCGTTCACCCAGGGAGATGAGAGATGAGTTCACACAAAGGCCACACAACGTGCTCTTCACCCCCTTCTTTGCCTCGGAATAGGAATTAGAGCCTGATGGCAGGCTTGTGTGCTGAAAACATCCCCAGCCTCAGAAAGGCTTAAGAGACTACCACTTTTGCCATGTGGGCCCTGATTTCCTCTCTATAAAGGCCCCTGCCATGCTGTCTGTCTCTGATGCAGAGTGTGAGCTCTCCTCCAAGCCCCACCAATCTGTCCCTCCATGGTGTTAACAACTTTTTTTTTTTTTTTTAGACAAGGTCTTATTATGTAGCAATGGCTAGCCTGGAACTCACTATGTAGACCAGGTTGGCCTCAAACTCAGAGTTCCTTCTGCTTTCCCAAGAGCTGAGATTAAAGGTGTGCAACACCACGGTTGGCCTATTAATAAATGAAATAAACTCCATACTCCCAGTGATCCATCGCAGTGTCTCTCTGAATCCCCATCTGAGACCTTCCACCCGGAAGGTAAACGTGTTCAGGGGCTAGGCCAGCGTCCCACATCATTTTTAGCGTGCTGTCCTTCCATGCTGTCTATAGCTCCAGACAGACAGGTGAGGGACAGTAAACAAGCCCTGCTTGATGAAGATCCTGGACCAAGGTCTGTGGTGCTAAAAAATAAAAAGTTCCTGTCACTTACACCTGAGCGGCCTCCCGGTCCTCTGCTGTGGGACAGCGAGACAGGTGGAGCTGCTGTGACTCAGCACCTCCAGTAAGTCAGAAGTCCACGGGGTTTCCCAGGTTTCGCCCCTTGGCTGTCCCTTGGGACTCTTGGATCTACTCTAACAGTTACTAGTGAGGCTGCCCAGCTGAAGGAGGAGGAACAGAGACCTGGGGGGCCAACTTCCCAAGGCCAGATAAATATCCCCTCCTAGGGTCTGGCCACAGCCCCCACAGATGCCTGGGGAAGGAGTGGAAGAATGGGGGTGACTTTTCCAAAGAGCCAGGCCCCCCAACATTCGCCCCAAGGTGGGTCTGATTATGGCCCCCAGACCATGTTCTGCTCTTTCTGAAGCCAGCTCTATTTATTTATTTAGTTTTTTTAAAGACAGGGTTTCTCTGTGTAAGAGCTTTGGCTGTCCTGGAACTCACTCTATAGTCCAGGCTAGGCTCGAACTCAGAGTGCTGGGATTAAAGGCATGCACCACCACCAGGCGATTAATTTTAAATTTTAAGGCATGGTCTTACTTTGTAGCTTAAGCTGGCCTAAAGCAGTGTGTGACCCAGGCAGGCCTAGAATTCACGTCCATCCTCCTGCTTCAGTCTCCTGAGTACCGGTATTACAGGTGTGAGCCATTATGCTCTTTTTGTTTCTGTTACTGTTACATGCTGTGATGTGCTATTTCTGTGCTCTGTGTTCTTGTACAGGACTTCCCCACATCCAGTCCAACCCTGGCTTCCTTCCTCCCCCTCCCACTCTGCCCTGGGATCCACATGTCATCAGGAATTCCTAGAAACTGAGCAGGGACAGTTTTTGGGTTGGGCTCTGAGCAGGGATGGACTGGCATGTGGCTGTGACTCAGAAGCCCGAGAGATAGGCACAGAGTACGTAATGCCATTGGTTCTTTTCCGTCCTACCACCTCTTTGCTGGGCAGAGATGAAGGAAACAGATTTGGAGAGCTAAGTTCAAGATCAGTCAGCTGAGTAGCAGCCAGACTGGGCAAATGCCAAGTCAGCTCCCCAGGGCTCGTCACATCACACGGCCAAGTGACCTACAAAACATTTTCCTCCTGAGGATTCTTAGGATCATCATTAGCAGCTGTAAGAGAAGAGAGGAAGGGCCTGGGTGAAGCCTCCATTGGCCTGGAGGAAAAGGGGTTTTAAACCATGGGCCCACAATTAAATACATTACATATATATATGAAAACGGGATCCTAAAACCCATTCTGTATAATTAATATATGCTAACAAAATTTTAAAAAGACTAAGTAAAAAATTCTTTCAAATTAAGTTTACATTTTTTTATGGTGTGTGTGGGACAAGTGTGTGGAGGTCAGAGGTCAACTTTCCTCCTACCGTGGGTCTGAGGATTGAACAGGGTTACAAAGCAAGTGCTTTTACCTGCCAAGGCTGAGCCATCCAGATGGCTGCAATGTTCTTTCATCCTCCAGCAAGAGAAACAGATAAAAGGACCTCTCTCACGTTGGGCTGCCTACGTTGCTGAAAGCAGGGTCCAAATCAATAATGGGAACTCCTTGGGACCCTGATCATAGCTCCTGTATGGCTGCTGAGGTCCTGGGAAAAGCAGGCACTCTGAATCTGTTTGGAAGATTTCTCAGAATGGTGAGTGGCGCTTGATTCAGCTTCCTAACAGACTGGAGAACTAGGGGTTTAGGGAGGTCTGCAAAGGGCCAGCCACAGGTTTCAGATTCCACCGTGAACTTGAAGACTGGGGGTTGGGAGACACCTCTCTCCTGGCTGATGCCTAAGGTCTGGGAAACTAAGGGAGTGTCAATTTTGGTTGGAGACTGGCCAGGGATGTCTGGATACTGATGGCCTCTGAATTAGCTGCTGTAGAGTTTCAGGCTTGCATATGTGTATGTGTGATGATTTCTTTTTTTTTTTTTTTTTTTTTTTTTTTTTTGGTTTTTCGAGACAGGGTTTCTCTGTGTAGCTTTGTGCCTTTCCTGGAACTCACTTGGTAGTCCAGGCTGGCCTCGAACTCACAGAGATCCGCCTGGCTCTGCCTCCCGAGTGCTGGGATTAAAGGCGTGCACCACCACCGCCCGGCTGTGATGATTTCTATTTGTTTCTTTGTTCTTTTTACTTGGAGACAGGGTCTCAGGCCGTCCAGGCTGACCTCTCCTTTGCCATGTACCCAAGGATGAACCTCAACTTCTGATTCTTTTGCTTCCACTGTCCAAGTACCAGGATTACAGGAGTGTGTCACCATTCCTGAGTTTATGACGTGCTGGGCTTTGTGCTAGACAGGCGTACTACCACCTGAGTTGTGTATGTTTTAAATCTTCCAGAAAACCAACACGTGGTATTTCATGGTTTCAATGTTTTAAAGACTTTTACTTAAAAGATGTACTTTTGTGTCTGCATGTATGTACGTGTACCAAGTACATGCCTGGTGACCTTGGAAGCCAGAAAGAGGATGTCAGATCCCCTGGAACTGGAGTTACAGATGGTTTTGAGCTGCCATGTGGGTGCTGGGAATAGAACTCAGGTCCTCTGCAAGAGCACCAAGTGCCCTTAACCACTGAGCCACCTCTCCTGTCCCTTGTTTCTATTATTTTAAATTGAATGAGTCTGTGTGAGGGCATATGCACCTGAGTGAAGCACCACCTTCCAGCCAGGGTCCAGTGTTTTAATTGTCAACCCCGAATTTCTACATATGTAAAGACTTGTGGAACTTGGGACTGGAGAGATGGTTCTGTGGTTAAGAACACACACTGCCCTTACACAGGACCCAAATGAAGTTCCCGGCACCCAAGTCAGGCAGCTCACAATTGCCTGTAACTCCAGCTCCAGACAGCTCTGATGCCTCTGGCTGCTGCTGGCACCTGTACTCACATTCACATACCCACACACAGACACACACAGACACAAAACTAAAAATAAAATAAACCGTAAAGAACTGTGGAATTTATACTTTGGGTCAACAGCTCTTCTCTCTTCCCTGTATCCGTGTTCCCCTCATTTCTCTTCTCGACCTCTTTAGGCCATTAGATAGCTAGATTGGTTCATAAGGTGTCCACACCAGGCGCTGTCTCATTACTGGGAGGTGCTTGGCTACTTACCAATGATTAGGAAACAGTCTTTCTCTATAATATAGCCACAATGCAGTCTGGGAGACCAGAGGTAGCCTGAAAATAGATCTTTGAATCATGACTAATGCCTTGTAGTTAAATCTGTTTCCCTAAGAGGGAGGAAGAATGGAATGGAATTCCCTCTGAGTATTTCTGAGCCTTCTGTTGGGAGGCCCCCCTCCATAGGCAAACACCTTTCTGGAGCTTGTCTTCCAAAGGACGGTGACTTGCTCTTCCTTCCCCTGGATCAGGAGGGAGGTGGCCCCCACGGCTCTCAGGCTTCTGCGGCTGCCAGAAGAGATGCCTCCAATACATGCTCCCCAGCCCCCTTGCCTGAAGGCTTCTCTGGAGCCTCTACACCCAACACCTTCCCCTGAACCTTGCCTCTCCAGCAAGGTATAAGTGGAGAGGGGAGCACAGTTTACATGGATGTGCGTTTTACCACCTCTGACTTGTTCAGCTGGAAGGCACATACCCAAGGTCTGCGGCAGACCCAGGAGGATGCTATCCTTACCGCTTACCTTCTTAGAGGGACAGAGATCTGCTCTCCTCTCCCCTCTTCTGACAGGAGTCAGCTGTGCTGGCGGAATGGCGATTTCTTGAGAGGAACATCTTTCTGGCTGGCTGCCTGCCTAAAACTACCATTTCCTGCCACCTGGGGTTGTTGTAAAGTGTGGCTATGTCCCACCTGTTTCTCAATCTTATTATGTGAAAGCCTCTGGGGTAAGAAAGATGGCTGGACCCAGGTGCCCACGAAGCTCTGGTTCTCCTTTCAACAGAGAAAAAGCCATGCACTCCCTTTCCTCGGGAGTCTGGGGTCACAGTATGTCCCTCTTAAGCTGGAGTCTGGGGTGGCAGTATGTCCCTCCTGAGCTGGAGTCTGGGGTGCAGTATGTCCCTCCTGAGCTGGAGTCTGGGGTATGTCCCTCCTGAGCTGGAGTCTGGGGTGCAGTATGTCCCTCCTGAGCTGGAGTCTGGGGTGCAGTATGTCCCTCCTGAGCTGGAGTCTGGGGTGCAGTATGTCCCTCCTGAGCTGGAGTCTGGGGTATGTCCCTCCTGAGCTGGCTGTCCTTATCCTCTCCTTTTCACCTCCCATTATACACGGGCCCTGAGCAGCAGCCTTCTCTCTGAAATAACTGGTAACCCAGCCATTGTGACTGTCCTCTGGTAACTGCCATCTTGCAGAGTTCAGTCTCACCCCCTTGCAAAAGCTCCTCCCAGCTAGGTTTGTTGATGGGTCATGCCCTCTTGGATGGTTAGGAAGAGTCACATGACCCTCACCTGGGTACCCAGTTCTTGCTTACTAGACCTTTGTACACAACTGTCTTACCTGCATGTAGCCTGGGGGAGGGGCTAGCTACATGGGTTGGGGGAGTCTAGGGAAGGGGAACTCCATCTAGGTAGCTACAAGGAAGTCCTCCCCTCTGCTGGGTGGAGGCTTTCCAGGTGCAGTGTTTTGGGTTTTTTTGGGGAGGGGGCATCCCCCCCATAAGTACCCTAAGTTTTGTAATGAAGCTCAGTGAACACATTGCTTTCCCACAGTAACTTTGGTGGAAGCCTGCCTTAGGTTGACATTGGAACCTTAAGAATTTTAGCAACACCAGTCTTTTTTTTTTTTTTTTTTTTTTTAAGACTCTCTCTGTGTAGTCCTCGAACTTGCTCTGTAGCCCAGGCTCACAGAGCTCCACCTACCTCTGCCTCCGAGTGCTGGGATAAGGGCCTGTGCCACCGTGCCCTGCTGTAACAGCAGTCCTAAGGGGCTGGCTCCGGCTTCTTTGGCATTACTCAGCGCTTATTAAGCAGGGTGCTGCAGAGACTTTCTTAAGTGCTAGCTGCTGGTGGCTGAGTCAGGATAACACAGAGGGTTCAAATCACAAACCAAATGAAAAGCCATATTCTTTGAGCAACCCTGTCTGTACATACTCACCTATAAGCTGGCCAAATGATTGGCGTAGAGTTAAGGAACTGTGTCTTGGCTCAATGCCGAGAAGAAAAAAGGGCTTCAGAAATAGTCTTTATTTCTTTTTTAAAAAACTTTATTGCGCATAAAACAGACCATTTCCTCTGTGGGTCATGTTACCATCTCTCAAAAAAAGCTTTTTTTTTTTTTTTTTTTTTTAAATGTACTGGGGATTGAACCGTGGGCCTTATGCATGCTAAGCACACATTCTACCACTGGGCTATATTCCAGCCCCTGATACTTGTTGCTCCTGCTCCAACTCGTTTCCTCTCCTGTCCCAGTGAAAAATGTCTTAGCTTTTAAAGTCTACAGTTGCTGGTCAAAATTATCTTAAGGATGGCTGCTGGGGGGAAATGCCCAAAGATATCAACTGAGCTGGGTTAGAACCTGGGGTTCTGGCCCGGCTCTTATTGGGGAGCAGGGGGCTACCTTCTGCTTGCCCTTCAGGGGCAGAGCCTGGTGCCTCAATGCACTGACTGTACTTAGCTTACTCAAACGCGCTCTAGCATCTTATGCATGTATGAAGTGTGTATATATCCCTCTCTTCCCTGCCTTCATGTGAAGACATAGTCCCTGGGAAGAACATCTGACTAGACCTGCATGCATTTCCAGAGGTGGAGAACACATGTCCCCGGACCACTGAAATCAACTGCAAACTAGTGGTTAAAAACTGGGAGCCAGAAAAAAAGTGCTCTACAAAAACCCCACGTCCTCATGCTGTCACGGCTGGAGAGCTGGGGGATGTCTCCCAGGCTGGTGGATTTCTGCCCCCCTTCTGGTGACTGCAGGAAGCAGCCTGTGCTTTGGAAAGATCAACAAGGTCGTGGCTGACCAGGGCAGAGGTGGGAGGGAACACTTGGTGCTCTGTGAGGCCACTGGAGGCGCAGCGTCGTGCCCCTGGGTCCTTCTTGAGTCACTCTGGAAATGGTTCCCTTCTTCTGGGTTAGCAGGAATGACAGGGCTGGCCTTCCCGGGATTGCCGCTGGCACTGGGGAGGCGGACAGGGTTAAGGAGAAGGCCACACAGGCCATAAAGGTCCTGTTCAGAGTCCAGTCTGATTGGCAGATTGTGGTTGAACAATGGAATCCAGAACATCCTCCTCTCCCCGTTTCAGACAGAGAATAAAGATAGCAGTACTGCCGTGGCAGAGACCAGGAGGTGATGGCATCAGCGCTGTGGCGGCTGCTAGCAGCACATCTGTATTTCCACAGGAGGGATGGCAGCTTCTGCACAGGGTGAAGGGTGAGCTAGCGGCTTGCTCCTCTGGAGTTAGATGGATGTTGAAGTTGAGGCACACTGTGGTTCCCACAGGCAGTTCAGGGTGAGTGTGGGCCCTTGGCTGTGTCGCCCTTAGGAGCCTTGAAGGCTGCCAGAGGCGACTCCTTTTCTGCACCAGCCCCTCCCACCAGGCCCAGCTGGCATCACTGCACTGGTCCATGTGCTGCTGTTTTGAGGGAGAAGCACCCTGGCCCCCATCACCGGTCTCTGGGTGAACCACGAGAAATGAAGGGCTTGGCTTATGGAGCTGGTTACATGGTGCTTATTGGCTGGCTCTTGCCAGGCCAAGAAGATCCTAGTACAGGCAGGGAGACTGGAGTGGCCAGTGTGTTGAGGGGAGACCAGCACACACACTCCAGTCTAGCTGGACCAGGGCACTGTCATCTGCCAGTCCGAGGACAAGGTCACACTCGACTTGTTCCCAGCAAAAGTGAGGAGGGGCTACCCTCAACCGTTAACGTATGTACAGGAGGTAAAACCTGGGCAGCAAAACGGGACAAAGTGGGTTCCACAGTGCCACGATCTGAATAGCATAGCCCACGGCAGCCTGTCTGTCTTCAGGCCTGGCCACCTGGTGCCGAAATGCATCCTCATAGAGAGGCAGCTCTCTTGTAGAAGTCCAGCAGGGATAGGGTGCTGGGTGGAGGAGGGGACAGAAAAGCTGTGAGCAAGGACCCACAGGGCTTTGAGCTGCTCCCTGGTGCCGACCAGGTCAGTAACACTATTAAGAAGGCTAATAAATAGATGCATGTAACAAGAATCAGGTCAGCTTTGCATCAGGCTGCGTGGGATATACAAAGACCTCCCAGTCACTCCTACACGCAGGTGACAGGCAATCAGTGTCTTTAGTAAAGGTATAAAAATGAAGTTGCTTACTTTCAAGTATTAAAAAAATAAGTTAATTGACAAAAAGGGTCCGAAGTGGCCGAGTGTCTGGCCAGGTTGTCAGTCTTGTCTCAATGTGCAAACACAGGAAAATGCCAGAGGGGGCCATCCCCTGTACTGATGTGGGTGCTGACCAGGGATGGCGCCTGCCTGTCGGTGGGGGGAGGGGAGGTTGGCATGTAGGGCTTCCCTCAGCTCTCTCCCAAAGTCAATACTTTCCAGTGTCAAAATGGTTGTGAACTAAAAGCAAAACACAGCAATCCATGGGCCTCAGGCCACAGCCCATGCGAGAGGCCTGGGGCACTTGGCCACTGGGAATCCAGTGTGTGGTGGGGCTGGGGACAGACCCCTCCTGCGCCCTCCTAACTTGCATAATGAACCTGCCTACTGTCTGGCTTCCCCTGCAATGGCAGGGTAGGCATCACCCCCACGGGTGTCGCCCCCTGCTGATCTCCTCCATCCACAGCCCTTTCCGTAGATGCTGCTGGACTTTCTTTGGTGGTGCTTCGGGGAGCATGAGGACAATAGCTGCTCTGCTCTTCAGGTGCTCTGTGGTGGCTGTGGTTCTGAAGAGGAGCCACTTCCCTCTCTTACCAGCAGAAGGAAGGGAGAGGTGCCAGGCGGCAAGCCCTCAGGGACCCGCAGGAGTTTCCCGCGGGGCACACCTCAAACACACCCATCTCCTCCCTCCTGAATGGGAAGTCCGGGCGTGGCCTTTCCCAGGTGATGGAGTCACCTCGGATGATGACCCTCACCTGGGGTTTCCCCACACACAGCACAGGTGTCTGTGTGCGGCCTTCCAGGGATGCCAGGCCTCTTCTGAACCTGGATCCGGTGGTTTGGGAGAACGCAGCCGGGTCAGGTGGGTGCCAATCAACGAACACGGTAGCCAGGCTCAGGACCAGTCCAGGCTGAAGCCCTTGCACAGCATGGCGGCCTCCAGGTCCTTGTCCTCCTCTTTCTCCCGTAACCGCTGCTCTTCGAGCAGGACCACCAGCGAGTCTCTCTGCTCCACCACCTCCAGCATCTCGTTCAGGATCTTCTTCTCCTCGGACAGCTCCTCCTCGGTCTTCAGGTGATCTGCCGAGTGGCTGAAGGCATCAGGCGTGTGGCCTGGGAGAGTGGCCCATTTCACCTTCCCACTCGCGTGCCCTCCACTTACCTTCCACGGCCATACGCTCCCGCAACTCCTGCTGCAGCCGGCTCTGGCGGTCTTCCAGCTCCAGCTCCCGGGCACTGAGACGGAGACAGCAACAGTGACTTGGGGACCTACTGTCTCACCCTGCCCAGCCAGGAGAGCTGTGCCTGCTGGGATGCACCAAATGCTGGCACCCCCTGTCGCTGGTTCTTAAAGCTCAGTTTACTCACAAAATCATCAGCTCCGACTCGTAGCGCACCATGGCGTTTTTCTCCTGCACCAGCTTGAACCACTCCTGCATCAGCTTGGGGTCATCCTTTTTGCCCATGCCTGTGTGAGAGACCGAGGGTCAGACAAGGGGACGGTCTCTGTTTGCCCAGCCCAGGAGGATTGTCACACTGGGGCAAATGTGCAAAGAGCCAAGCAAGATGCTGCTGGAACAGTCCCAAGCCAGGTCCAAAGTTTGCCTACAGCCCTGACGGGGAGAAGGGGACAACAGAACGACAGGCCACTGCATCGTGTCCACCCCAGGGCCTGACAGACCTAGACTTTCCATCAGTCCTGCCCAGGCCTTGTTCTGGGTGCTATTCCTTCCGACAAGCTTAACACTCCTCTGCTCAGTGACACAGGTGTGCGTGTGTATGAAATGACTTGCTCTCTCCTCGCTACGAGGTCTCTTTGGAGGAAAAGTCTAATAAACAGGAGAAGCAGAATATTTACAAACTACACCTGGCCTTTAAGATAAGGTTTCATATAACCTAAGCTGGCCTCGAACTCCTGATCCTCCTGTCTCCATCCTCGCACATCCTGAGATTGCAGGGACGTGTGCCAACCATGCCTCGTTCTACACCTTGCTCTTCAGTTACTTTCTTTTAACGCTGTTTCATCCTGGGCAGCTGGCTCTTTCAGGGGCCCCGGGCACTTCACCTCTGCTTCCTAGTCTGACGAGGAAGATACCACTTCGTTTCGTCGTGCATTCACCTAGACACATGCATGCCGGGCGAGTGCTCTACCACTGAGCTACATCCCCTGCCCTCACATACCCCTTCTTAGCGTGCTGCCCAACAAACACTGCCGCAAAATCTGTGCGGTAGACTCGAAGCACATCGGTGGCTGTCACCAGCAGACCCCAGAGCTGAGGAGGGCAGCTGTTCCTACTCTTTGGGCACCTGCTGACTTGAGCTGTCCTGAATCAACATCTGACTGACCGAGTCTCCATCAGGAGTAGTCACCCCCCAAGGCTTAAATGCAGCAGGAGCATGGAGGAAGGACTCCCTAAGGAATCAAACCACCCGGGAAATAACAAAGTCCTTCTGTTCAGTGTACAGAGCTGCTCATGTGACCTTGCCTTGGAAACACACTGTATCAGTGGCTCTTCGCCCACGTGGACATAAACCTTTAGTATTATTTTTGTGTGCTGGGGATGGAACACAGAACCTCATATGTGCTAGGCCACGCCTCACCTGAGCTACACTCCCATCCCAATATCCAGTAATTTTATACAGAATTCAGGGTGTTCCAAGGGCTTCCCGAAGTTCATTCACAGACCTCAGGTTAAGAGGTGTCAGACTGGAACCCTCTAAGTCCCCTCCACTAACTTGGTTGGATGGTCCAGCCCTGAGCAGTGCCCTAGCACAAGAATATGGATAGCATCCTCAGGTAGGTGCTGATCTTGTGTCATAGCCTGCTTCTTCCCGACTCTTTCAGGCTAGTCAAAGGCCAAGCTCTTTCACTCTATGCTGGACACATGTCAGGCCTAAGTCTAAGCCTTTAGCCAGTGACCACACTTCAGAGACAGAACTGACGCACGCAAGGGTTAGTATCAGACCGTGCCAAGCACACATGCACCCTTGCTCCTGACGTGGGGGGTCCTGGCCCTGAGCTCTACTCTCAAAGATAGACACCTCCATCCCGGCCTGTCGAGCCTGCCTACAGGTCTGGGGGCCCAAGCTCTCCTTCCCCGCTCCAATAGACTTGGGTCTTTGGCTTTAAAGCAGCCTAGAGCCCAGTTCCACGCATTCCTTCCGGAGCGTCTCTGCACAGTGTGCCCATGTGGCCATGGAGATGAAGCCCTGAGGCATGCAAGCTGTCCAGAGTGGCAAGTCCGTCCCTCCTTCCCACCTCCCAGTATGTAAAGACCCCAAATTCCACGGGGGGGGGGGCGGTGCGGGGAGACACTGGGACACTGCTCATGAGCCATGTTGGAGCTCAGTCACAGCCAATGAGCAGGGGGATGTGGTGGGGTAGGTGGTCAGATGTGAGAACCATGGAGAGCAGAGAAGAGGTTAGCAGGGGTTAGTCATGGCCACACTCCCCTTCCCCTGCCCACATGCCTTGCCAATGATAATCTTATCACCACAACAGACTTCAAGTCAGACAAACTTAAAACAAAACAAGACACACTCAGCAAGACACAAGGTAGAGAAGTTTGTTTTTAGTGGTTGCTCTGGAGGAAAACAACAAAACTCGGGGGGGGGGGGAGCATTTGTGTAGACCAGTCTTTGTAAGGACAGTATTCCTTGACTCTGCCAATACAAACTGCTGCCACAGGGGGTTCCCGCCCCATTCCTGGCCCTCTGGATGCTGGCCTTGAGCTTACCGACCCCACGACCCCAAGCACCAATGGTAGGCAGAGCCACAGGAGAACTGCAGCCTGCAGACGCTGGAGCCCGCAGGCTCTATGGCTTCCCTCGGTCCCCATCTTCCCTTAGATAGTCAAAGGGATACTGTGCCTTGTAAGAAACTGCCACATACTCATGACATTCTGAAGTCAGAGAGAGGAGCAACTGCTGGGCTTGGCTCCCTGTTGGACTATGGTGGCTGCGGCCCCTCAGAGGCAGTGGGGATGAGTGGGCGAGGTTACGTTACCTTCCTGGACACAGCAAGGGCAGAAGGAGAGAGGTCTACGCCGTGGAGTCCCGCCACTGGGCTCAACTTCAAAAGGACCAAACAAGGAAGAGGAGACAGAGAGAGACAAAAAGAGGAAGAGGGAGGGAGAGGAGGAGTTTGGAGGTGGAGAGGGACCGGGAGAGGGTGAAATAAAAACAAGCAGAGGACAAAAACAGAAAAGGTGAGAAAGGAACAACAGGAAGAAAAGAAAAAAAATCCACAAGAATGGAGAAGCAGAAACAGGGAAACAAAGTCTACGAATGAATTAAGTCCTTTGTTCAAGCACAGAAATCGAACAAGAGCGGGCCCGGGCTGCAGGCAGCAGTGGCTGGTGAGGGCGTGTAGGGACATCGGAACATTGTCACACGGTGGCCCTGGGCTCCTTCCTAAGGAGCACCCACAAGCCTTGGGTAGACCTGCCTCCCTCCATTCAACAGACTTTGTAAATATGCAGCCAACGCTGCTTCTGGGTGTGCAGGAGGTGACTGAGGTGACCAACAAACTCTACATAAAACAGATTCAGATGTCACCACGGGCACGTGTGCTTGAGGAGGTTCAGCTAGCTTTTCCATAACTCTAAGGGGCAAGGAGGGTCTGTCACCCTTGGCCGTCATGCCCACAGAAAGGAACTCTGAGTCTGCACAAGCGGCATCTTACCCTAGTCATGGTCCTGCAGGGCTGGAGATACATTGCTTTGCATTCTGAACCAGCGGAGTTGGGGGAACTATGAACACCCAGAAATGACCTCTAATTGCCTGGAGCATCCCTCCCAGGGGCTAAGGAAAACCAACCACCACCTTTTCTTTTGGTTCTCCCACAGCTGAGGGATGGTGTCACACTGTGGACTGTGAGACCGAAAGGGGGTGAGCTGACAGGGCAGTCCACGACTCAGCAACGCTACTGTTAGAACGGTGATGGGCAACCGAGAGGAGACAGTGTGCAGAGGCGTCTACAGACCCTGGGGAGACCTGAGCACCAAAGAAGAGGGAGAGGAGCTGATCAAGGGACCATCACAGAACCACAGGAGCACACATAGGACACAGGAAGCCCCAGGAAGGTAAGGCCTTCAGGCCCCGGGAGAACTGGGAGGGAGGTGGCCACGATGAGAACAGGGCTCAGGCTGAAACATCAAGCTCCCTCTGGACTGGCCATTCTATACTGTAGTGGGATAAATGTAGGGACCACAATTGCTTTTTCCTTTCAAGCCTTGTCCTACTAAGCACTTTGTGCACAGCAAACCTGGTACTTGGGTCCAACCTCCACACCAAAGCCACAGACAGAGTGTGTGAAGTGCTTTTAACCCATTTCAACAGGTGCGGCCATGAGGAGCTGATGCCCACGTCTTTTCCAAGCACAGAGCTGGCAGACCTACTCAAGCCTGCTTGGCTGCGAGGCATAAAGTCTGTGCAGCTCAGATACCTGGATGAATCCCGTGAGTATCCCATCAACTCTCCCTGCCACTTCCTGGGACTCGAATGACACCAGTAGGTAGCAATGTTGCTAGAATGGTGTAGTGGCATCCGTGCTCCTTAGCAAGGGACAGTGACACAATATGACACAATATGGAAGCAGTGCACATCCAAGATCAGGCAGGTGCCTGCACACACACACACACACACACACACACACACACACACACACACACACGCTGTGGAAAAATCCTTCTGTACACTGTGAAAGTGTGTTGCACTCATTGATAATAAAAAGTGACTGGCTGATAGCTAGGCAGGATTTTCAGGACAGAGAGAATGCTGGGAAGAAGGGCAGAGTCTGAGGATGCAGAAGAAACAACACAGGAAGTTCATAGATGAGGTAAATGAGCCTTGGGGCAGCACACAGATTAATAAAAATGGGTTAATTTAAGTTGTAAGAGCTGGCTGGAGACAAGCCAAAGCTATAGGCCGAGCATTTATAATTAATAATAATTCTCTCTGTGTGTGGTTATTTGGGGCTGACTACCAGGACACAGAAAATCTACACACACACACACACACACACACACACACACACACACACACACACACACACACGCGTGCGCGCACTAAAATACATACACAGACCTAAATATAAACACTAGTTTCTGGACATCACACAATAGATCCTAGGTCCTTGTATCTTGATCACATTCCTTGTATAATGAGATAACAATATTGAGAACAGAAGTTAAAAAAAATAAAATTAGAAAGCATCGGGTGAAGCAGGTATTTAAAAAAAGGAGAAAAAGTGATTGCCATAACAACAGGCGAACGGAAGGATGTGTTCAGATGGGTCTGATCCACATGACTTGCTTTGTAGCCTCCAACATGTCCATGATGAATACCTATCACTCATAATTAGAAAAAATAAAACAAAGCAAAAAACCCACCTACTAGGTTCTATTTTAAAAAGAAGAAATGGAACAGAAAAACCAATCGATGGGGAATTCCATACCAAATCAGACTCTGAACGGAGCGTGTGGGCAAAGCACAGGGGCAATGGTTTTGATAGCTTTTTTTTTTTTTTTTTTTGGGCTGTTTATGGACATGTGAGAAACAGATGTCTTGGTTTGCTGGAGCTTTTCTCTCCTCCCCGCCTTTTTCTGTGGTGCTGGGGATGAACCCAGGGCCTGAAGCATGCTAGGCAAGTGCTCTACCACTGAGCTGCCAACCTGCAAGACACTGAGCTTAGGCACTCAATGACACTTAGATAAAACACACTTTAGTCTTTTTACTGCTCACAATACTGAGAGCTCTAAGTGCAAGGCTGAGACAGAGAAGGGGCTAATGTTGCCTTTACATGAAAGGAAGTGCTCATCATGGAGGGGCTCAGACAGAGATCTGGACTACTCATAGCTGGGACCCCTCAGGGGCAGCATGGGCTGTCAGGGGAGATGGTTTAAGGCTCCCCATCTCCAATCCAGCCACTCAGTCCTGCCTGGCTACATTTAACTCCCCTTCTACAACGTCGCTAATACCAGAAGGAACTAGACATACCTAAAAGGACCATGGGCTTATTTTAAGGGCAAGAATGACTGAGAATGATTCATGGGAGAAATGACTATCTGGACATGGCGGCATGCAGTAACTCAACACCTGGAGGTACAGGCGGGAGGGTCAAAAGTTAAGGGCATCCTTGACTACACAGTGAGCATGAGGCCAGCCTGGGCTACATGACAACTTCTCTCAAAACAAATGAAACAAAACTCCAAAGAAATATCTATGAAGTACCTCTCCTGTGCCTAGCACTGTACTGGTTACTATTTACCCTATTTTCTTTAAAATCCAAAGCAGGAAAGCATTTCTCTCTCTCTCTCTCTCTCTCTCTCTCTCTCTCTCTCTCTCTCTCTCTCTCTCTCTCTCTTCCTTCCTTCCTTTCTTTCTTTTTTTGAGACAGGGTTTCTCTGTGTAGTCCTGGCTGTCCTGGAACTCGCTCTGTAGACCAGGCTGGCCTCAAACTCAAGAGATCCACCTGCCTCTGCCTCCTGAGTGCTGGGATTAAAGATGTGCCTCCCCTCCCCTCCCCTTCTTGGCAGGAAAGCATTCCTGATTGGACAAAAAGAAAGGGATCATCAGGGAGCTGGTTTGGGGCTGAGAGAAAATCTGAGGGGCAGGCCTCACCTCTCTATCCATCTTGGACATCCCCTAGGCTCCTGTGCCCGAGACAAAGGAGCACTACCATAGGCTTAAAACTGGAGAGCCCTTGACAGTCAGACCCCAAAGTCCCAGCCTGTCACATTTCAGACACACCAGCTCCATACTGTCCAGAGATACTGTGAGAAAAAGGGGCTTTTTATGAGCCAAGTTCTGTCCAAGTGAGAATGTGCAGTCTAAATAAGCAGCCTGCAGATGTCAATCACGGTCCTTCTGTAGGGTGGGCGTGGCTCCACACCTTCCCTTCCAGATGTACTGCAGCAACTTTCATCCACAAGGTCAAGGACGCCCAGGGATAGAGTACTCCTTTCCAGCTAAGCTTCCAGGAAGCCCTCTCTGTACCATGGGACACTTCTGGTGGCCTCTGAAGGTGTCAGAGACAGCGAGAAGTATGCTTCTTTCTCAGCTGCGCTTCGTCACCAGGACTCCAGCCTGCTCTGTGCAGCTGCTGCCTATTCTGGCTACTCACTTGTTTCAAAGCAATGTGATATATTTACTGCCAAGTGACCCAGCATGGACTCAATGCCTACTAAATTGATTATCCTGGGAGAGTCTCATGTGGAGCTTACTATGCAGCCAAGAATGATCCTGAACTTTTGATCTTTCCGCTTCCACCTCCCAAGTGCTGAGATTGTGGGCGCACTGAGTCACCACAATCCATTCATGCAGTGCTGGGAACCAAACCCAGAGTTCTGCGCATGCCAGGCAAGCATCCTAACAACTGACTTACATCTCCAGCCTCCTTTTCTCTCTCCCCTCTTTCAAGACAGGGTCTTAGGTAGCCCAGGTTGGCCTTAAACTCCAATGCTCTGGCATTACAGGCATGTGCCTGGCCTCTTTTTATTCTTGTTGCTGGGGCTAGAACTCAGGGCATTGATGCCAGTGGTCTGCTCTTCCTAGGAGTGAAGAATTTCTTGGTATACGAAGAATGGTTCTTGTTTATGTTCAATTCCGTCTTGTATAAAACTGGTAAAATCTTTGTTGACTGAGATTATGCTCAACTGTTCTTACTCCCCAACCTCAGGTCTCTTTGGTCAGTACCAATGCCTTCCAGCACCATGCATAAGCAAGGCTTTGCAGGGCAAGCTGGGCTTCCTCCCCAACCACTGCAATTACGAGCCCCGAGGCCCTGGTCAGGGATCCAGGTGGCCGATGCCATGCTTCAGTGTGTAAGCATCAGCCAGGGTGAGGCTGCTGGCATGCAGGCACGGATGACATGCACGTGACAGGCCGGGAGACACCTTGTGCTAATGAGCTCAGTGCAGAATGAACTTCTGGACTGGAGAACTGCTGGTGAGGTGCATAAACACACGTGAGAATTGAGATCCACGGGGATGTGTGTGCACCCGAGTTCACACACACACACACACACACACACACACACACACACACACACACACACACACACTTCAAAGTATCAAGTAAAAACTGAGCCAGGCTAAATGTTCAGCTTGACCAGAAAGGCAGGAACCTATCAATGTCCAACGAAAGGGAATAAATGGGAGAATGTCACTTAGGAGGGGACCAACAGGTCTTAGCAGGCCTCTCTCCAACTCACTGGTGACCACAGGATCTTTCCAGATCCCATGACACATTTCTAAGTCTTTCATTTCCCCCTGAGACAGACTGCCAAGTAAGAGTCTATAATATTAGAAGTTACACATGTGCTTTTGGCTTTGTTTTCCTGAGACAGGATTTCTCTAGGTAGCTTTGGCTGTCTTGGAACTCGCTCTGTAGACCAGACTGGCCTTGAACACACGGAGATCCGCCTGCCTCTGCCTCCCGAGAGCTGGGATTAAAGGCCTGTGCCAGCACACCTGGCTCACGTGTATTTTTAATCTATGTTTTTCAGAAGACTTGGTTGCTGTGGGATGGTCTGTTTGTCAAGTGTGTTGCTAATTAGTCAATAAATAAAACACTGATTGGCCATTGGCTAGCCAGGAAGTGTAGGCGGGACAAGGAGGAGAATAAAGCTGGGAAGTGGAAGGCTGAGTCAGAGAGACACTGCCAGCCGCCACGATGACAAACAGCATGTGAAGATGCCGGTAAGCCACGAGTCACGTGGCAAGGTACAGACTTATAGAAATGGATTAATTTAAGCTGTAAGAACAGTTAGCAAGAAGCCTGCCACGGCCATACAGTTTGTAAGCAATATAAGTCTCTGTGTTTACTTGGTCGGGTCTGAGTGGCTGTGGGACTGGCAGGTGAGAGAGATTTGTCCTGACTGTGGGCCAGGCAGGAAAACTCCAACTACAAATGGCGTCCAACGTGGTGGCAAGAGTTTCCACCTAAAAACTGAGAAAAAAAGATTCTAAAACGGAGCTAAAAACAGTTCCTAATTGTCTCTCTCAAATGAGCAGCAGCTGCCAGTTTGAGCTACTGGTGGGTTCCTAGTGTGCGTGTTCGACCTGCAGAATGGTGGGAATGAGGCCTCAGCAAGTGACACATTAAGCTGCGTGGTAGATTTAGCCTTTACTAGTACAAAACAAAAACTGGGCTACACGCTGCTTGGATAAAAGCATATAGACCCACGATAGCTCCCAGAGCTGGTGGTAAAGTACCACAGCCATGTTGGGAAGCTGAGGTGGGCGGAGCCAGCAGCCACAGCTGCTGCAGTTTAAAGCAATAGATTCACATTAAGACAGATTCAGATGTAATAGTTTACAATGTGTGTAAAAGATACGTAGGCTTGAAAGAGACAAAAAAGGTGATATATACAGTTATATAAACAAATACATAGTTTAAAAAAATAAAGTCTTTAAAGAGACAATAAAATTAATATAAAAAATAAGCCACGTGAAGATGAATATTACACAGAGAATCTGGATTGTGTTGTCTTTGGGATTCTTAACTGCAGAGAGATATTTGATTATAAAGGAAGCTGAGTTAAACCAATATGCATATTTTAAAGGTACCTTGACTTCAAAATTTGGTTATAATGATATGTTACTTTGGAAAGGAGACTCTGCTTTTGTTCCCACAGAAAGCCAAAGGCTATGGATTTGTTCCAGATTAAGATACATCAGATTTGACCAGCCAAGACCACCTGAAAGGTCTCCGATGACACCAAGGCCCGGATGATCCAACATCCAGAATGGTTTGAAGGCAACTGGCTCAGACGATACAGCCTCACGGACTACTCCATGATCCTTAAATTTTCTTTATGTCCCCATAAGATACAGTGTCCCCCTCCAGCAGGAAGTAGTAAGAGAAGCTACGCCCAAATTCCCAAATTATATGTAATTTTACTTTGTTAAGGTTAAAACCTTCCTTTTTGAAAAAAAAAGGGGGAAGTGCTGTGGGATGGTCTGTTTGTCAAGTGTGTTGCTAATTAGTCAATAAATAAAACACTGATTGGCCATTGGCTAGCCAGGAAGTGTAGGCGGGACAAGGAGGAGAATAAAGCTGGGAAGTGGAAGGCTGAGTCAGAGAGCTGCCAGCCGCCACGATGACAAACAGCATGTGAAGATGCCGGTAAGCCATGAGTCACGTGGCAAGGTATAGATTAATGGAAATGTATTAATTTAAGTTGCAAGAACAGTTAGCAAGAAGCCTGCCACGGCCATACAGTTTGTAAGCAACATAAGTCTCTGTGTTTGCTTGGTCGGGTCTGAGTGGCTGTGGGACTGGCAGGTGAGAGAGATTTGTCCTGACTGTGGGCCAGGCAGGAAAACTTTAGCTACACTTGGTTGTCTCTAGATTTCCAGTCCCCTTGCTCTAGTGCAACAAGACTCGGTGGGCTGTGCTGCGCCTGTAACATGTCCAGGGGAAGACAGGAAGGGCTCTGCATGTGAGGACCCTTCCTCTCGGGCTCACATTAATGACTTCTTTTCAAATTACAAGGCCCAGCTAGTCAAGGAAGTCAATTGTTATACTTCTTTGGCTATAAGAGACCTTTTCTTTTTCATTTGGCATTGTGCATTGGACTCTGGGCCTCTGAGCCTCTGAGCCATATTCCCAACCCCAAAATTGGCTTAGAGAACAAACAAACAGCCAGGCGGTGGTGCATGCCTTTAATCCCAGCACTCAGGGGCAGAGCCAGGTGGATCTCTGTGAGCTCGAGGCCAGCCTGGTCTACAGAGCGAGATCCAGGACAGGCACAAAAACTACACAGAGAAACCCTGTCTCGAAAAAAACAAACAAACAAACACACAAAAAGAAACAAACAACCCAAACAGTCTCTTTTTAGTTCAGGTGGGGCTTTAATTTGCAAGTGTCCCGCTTCTGCCTTTTGAGTGCTGGGATAACCTGTGTGCCTGGCAAAGACACTTTAATGTGGGTCTCAAGCTTTTATGTGGCAGGCTAAGAGCTATGATGGACTCCAGTGAGGTACTGTGGTGAGCAGGTCCAGCACAGGGCAGGAATCCGAGTCTGGACGTCTCAGGTGAGGAACGGAGTTCCCAACACTCCAAGTGCTGCTCAAAGCTGTTTCCAGTAAGACTGACGCTGTGGTCCCCAAATGACATTTCTGTGTGGCCTTTTAGGGAAACAGAGGTAAAGGGCCAGCCAACTTCTCTATCTACTTCAAGACCCAGACTTCAAAAGGGCAATTACTTCTCAAATAATGAATATTAAAGCATGTGCCTGAAGAAAAAACCCCAGCAGACTCTGAACAGGGTCAACTGTGGCACCTATGTCTTCCTCTCTGGAGAGGGCCTGGTGACCCTGGCTCTTTGCTGGAGCACACAAGTGCCTCTCTTCAGAGAGGAGTGCATCGTTCTTCATTAGGCAGTAGTGTCTGCCTACATGGGAGCAGAAGCCACGAGGAGCCGGTGCCGTGGGCAAATCAGAATGGCTGACGAGAAGCAATGAGGGTCTGGAATGGGGAGCACAGGCAGACGGTGTCTGACTCGGGGAGAGGGGTTTTAAAGAGTCTTCTTTCTGCTCATTCCATTTCACCCCAGAATCCCCTGGCACACTAAATCCAAGGTTAGAGCTCGGGGTCTGGGGCCACAGACAACGGTCCACTGCATTTCCTTACCTGAGCAGTGGGTTAAGGACAACATTCAAGACATAACACAGACAGTCTATGCTGCAAAAGCCAGTCTCTCAAGCAGGAGGGGTGGGTTATGTGGCGGGAAGTGGGTCTGGACCACTCCCTCCACAATGTCCTGAACGTAAGTTATGTTTTCACATGTGGAGATGACCTCAGAATCGACACGGACATTCCTTAGGGAACTGTTAGGAATAGGCGAGGAAGGGAGACGGGTATTAGACAAGACGGGGTCTGTTAACTGGGGTGCAAGCGTCAGCCCTTTTTCAGCATCAATGACCATGGGTGGGAGCCCCCCAAAACCCCAGAAGCTGGAGACACTGAAAGGGGCCTGTGGCCAAGTAGACTCCTGGACGTATAAGACTAGGGACAAAGAGGGCAGAGGCTGACTCCTGCCCCCTACACAGGAGCCCAGGGTCCTACCTTCTAGGCACGTGCTGAACAAGTGCCCTACCTGGCTCTGGGTTCACTTTACTCACGTTTGTGTACATGTTGCATATGTGTACACATGTACACCCCCAGGCCTGGCTTTTATTTTACTTACTTGTGTGTGTGTGTGGTATACATGTAGGTGACTGTGGGAGTGTGGAGGAAAGAGGTTGGCAGGAGCTGTTTTCCTCAGTCACTGACCACATTATTTAATGTTTTTATTATTACATTTATTTTTCTTTTTAAAATTTTATTTACTTTTATTTATGTGTACATGTGCCTGTCTGTGCATACGTGTACAGGTGCCCACAGAGACCAGAAGAGAGTGTCAGATCCCCTACAGCTGGAGCCACAGGTGGTTGTGAGCTGCCTTTCATGGATGCTGGAATTGAACCCGGGTCCTCTGGATGAGCAGCAAGCGCTCTAATCCAGTGTGCCATCTCTGCAGCCCGTTGTTATTATATTAATTAATTTACTGTGTGAGGTGGTATGAACATGCCACGGCAAAAGTGGATAACTTGCAGGAGTTGGCTCTTTCTATCACGTGGGTTCAGACACTTAACCTGATGCTGAGGCATCAGGCTCAGCAGCAAGTACCTTCAACCAAGGACAGGCCCACCACCTGAGTTTTTGAGACAGGGTCTCTTACTGAACCTGGAGCTCAGACTAGCTGGACAGCCAACTACAGGAACCCTTTGTCTCTGCTTCTGAGCACTGGGATTAGAGTGTACATCACCATGCCTGGCTTTTTCTTTTTTTAATGTGGGTATTGGGGAATGGAAGTCAAGGTCTCATGCTCACATGACAGGCATTGACTGAGATGACTGATTCGTCTCCCAGCTCTGGTTTTTATTTCTATATATTTTTGTTTTGGGGATTTTTTTTTTTCTTTGAGACAGTCTCATATTAGCTTAGGCTGATTTCAAACTCCTGTCAATCCTCCTGCCTTAGGCTTCCCAGTGCTAAGATTGCAGGCATGACCTACTGCACACAGGGTCTCACTATGTAGCTATGGCAGCCTGGAACTCAGCATGTAGACCAGGCTGGCTTTGAACTCACAGAGCTCTACCTGCCTCTGCCTCTTGAGTTCTGGGATTAAAGGTGTGCGCCACTAAACTTAGCTTGGCCTGATTTTTAAAAACAATGCATTTATTTTGTTTGTGTGTGTTGTTGAAGGACATGTATGTCATGGCAAGGGTGTGGATGCCAGAGGACAACTTGTCAGAGCTGGTCCTTTTGCACCATGGGTCTTGGGAATTGAACCCAGGTTGTCCAGCTTGGAAGCAAACACCCATGCCCGAGAAGCCATGTTGATGGCTTGACTATGGTTTTTAAATGAGTAGGCCAGAAAGTGTCTCTCTCATGGGGAAGGGTGGGGAAAAACTTATCTTCCCCTGCAGTTCTGTTTTCAGGAGGCACAGAAGCCCCAGGGGCGGGTGAAGAGATCAGAACACCTGACCGAGAAGAGGAGAGCCGCCACTGCCCTGCTATACCAGACAACCCGGGGCTGGACACTCGCTCTTCTGGAAACACGGCAGCTCAGAGTCTAGGAGCATGATTCCAGACTGGCCATTTCTCTGCTGAGCTCTGTTCAGGATGACAGCAAATACTCAGCCCCACGTGGCCAGGGCTCCCCTGCTTGAGAGGCATCAGAATCAGCTGGCAAGTCTGTAAGACTAGGCACGCAGGCCTCCTCTGTGGAGTTTCTGACCCAGAAGGTGTGGGCTGCTGTCTGAGAATCTGCATGTCTAGTAAGTCCCAAGTGATCAGTGGGTCAGTGCAAAGTTAGCCCCAGGGCACGGGGAGGAAGGGACATTATGGATGGAACTAAGTGCTAAGTCTTGTGACTCTGGGCAGAGACGGCATACTCCAGCCTTTCTCGTGCTCTAGGGACTACACGACACTCCCAAGCGAAAAGGATGGAAGCTGAGTTCATTATTTTACAATTTTTAAAACATATTTCATCTCTAGCTGCTGCAGACGGACTCCTAGGCGTGCTAGGCAAGCGCTCTCTCGCTGACTCCGGCTCCCACGCTTGCACTGTAAGTGCCTCGGGCAGTGAGCCTCCCAGGGGATGTGAAACCTGTACATGGTAAGGGCTGAGATTCAGAATGGAAGTCTGGACTTGCGTGTGAATGAGCCGCTGCCCAGCAGCAGCAGAACATGAAGGGAACTGGGGTGCAGATGCAGGGCGGGTGGAGCAGGGGGCGTAGGTTTTGTTTGTTTTAGATAAAAATTTAGAAAAACGTCAAGCATCAGGAGCCATCCTAAATCTCCCTCCGTGGCACACACGGAAGAAAGGACCCGACAGTCGCTGCTGCTTTTCGGTTGTGCCGAGGTTGGAGCCCAGGGCTTCTGGCGCACTCTAGGCAAGTGTTCTGACACTGAACCTGGAAAAGGGTTTGTGCTTTGCCATTTGGTTATCAGGCTGTTTTTTTTCTCACTGTTGTGAGCAAGGACTGGGATGGAGAACAAGAGGGAAGGGCGTCTCGGGGTTAGTGCCAGCAGTGGATGACGCTATACATACCACCCAGGTGCAAGTCGATGAGGCCACTGTAATTAGACTCTCCCCAATAGTCTACAACAAGGAAGTGGTGAAGACAGAGTTATTGGATAAGATGACCCTGCTGCCACCCCGACCCAAAAGCTATCCAACGCATGACACATAGAAAACATGAGAGCCCAGTGGAGCAGCTGGCAAAGCGTGCATGTCTGGAAAGCATGGCATGCACACACACAGGCCATCTCTGCATCTCGTGGTACTGGGTGTGTGTGTGTGTGTGTGTGTGTGTGTGTGTGTGTGTGTGTGTGTGTGAACCAAACACCACTATGAATGGAGTTGCCGGCCAACATCAGGGAGATTCCTGTTCGCACCTCGACTCAGCGAGGATGGGGCTTGGCTTTACTGTGACCGCCAACCGTGCTGGAAGGCAACGTTACCCGTGATTTAAGAAGGTTTTAAGGGCAGACCAGGGGCTGTTCTTACTTAGTTTCTGAATATTAAAGGCTCCAAGCTAAGGGTTTCAAGATGTGGATGTTAAGGGAGAAAAAAGAAAGCTTTGGAAACCAAGGAACTTGCAAGTGACTCCATTAGTGGTGAGCATGCTTTCCTTCGCTGAATGGGTTTGAGATGAAGGCCCCCATCTTCAGAGAGCCTTTTCTTTCAAGGTAAGAAATGAGCTGGGACATTGGCAGAATTTCCACCCTAGATGCCGAGGCTGCTGGCCACAGGACTTTCTGGCTTTTCAGCTCCTGGAGCTGTCCAGCAGTGTCTTGTCTTAATGTGCCTATGGTGCGAAGAGGGGGGCTGGCAGCAGGTGGGTCCCGAGCTGGCAGTTTTTAGGGCCCAGAATCATAAAGGGGCCCACAGTACACCAAAATGTCTGTCTTTTTCTAACCTCACAATCTGGATGCTGATCCCAGCAACCACAACCTTCTCTTTTAAGGATGAATATGTCTGAAAGCTGAGTTCCCTCCAGTGGCTTTCCAGCTCGTGTTCAAGCTAGTCCAGTGAGTGGTTCTAAGCTTGAGTCAGAGTTCTAGAAACAGAGAAGCTCCCCTCGGATTCCAGGACAAGAAGGCCACAAGTCTCAGCCTTGCCCTGGTCTCCAGGGCTCTGGAGCCAATCCGCCCAGCCTGTATATACAGAAGTCTTCGACAAATACAGGTTACCTGATGGCAACTCCAGACCAGATCTCTTCTATGAAGGGCATCTTGGCTAACAAAGGGGGACCCCTTTGACAGCAATGGAGGCTTGAGACCACCACATGAGACAGGATGGCAGGTTCTGGCCAGCTTGCTAGAGCTCAGGGAGGGAGTTGAGTTGTGCTGTTAGAAGCCGTGGTGTTCCTTGCTCAGCAGGTAAGTGAGAAGGCCAAGTGGGATGGGATGAGAAACAAGAGAAAGGTGCTGGTACCATGTACGTTCAGCCTCCAAGGCGCTCTCTGCCAGGAAGGGACAAGGCCACTGGGAACTGACACTAGACCAGCCCTGGGCATGGAGTGTTAAGTGTCAGAAAAGGAAAAGAATGTATTTGGAAATACCAATGCACCACAGGCGGATGTGTACGTTCAGAGGCAGTTTCACCTTCTGGTCCAGGGGGTTGTGCAAAGATCTGCCTATAGTCAGGAGCTGGACTAGAACACGTCTGTCGAGCCCTAGGGCTCTTCAAGAGAGGTTCCAGGGGTCCACAGTGACTCTGAACTTTTGAAGACTAGTGCACACCATGCTTAAGTACTTCACATGACAACTTCTGACACACTCGAGACCTCCAGTAAGGCTGCTTTTGTGGGCTCTCAGGTCTAAGATTCTTTTGCTTCGTGTCCAAGAATTTTGCACTTCTCATAAATATATTAGTAAGAAGGTAATTCAAGTCCCGCTGGCAATGACAGAGATCATGTACCGATGTACAGGGATCCGAGAGAAGGCTTAGGAGATGATGACTTCAGAGCACACTGCTGGTACAGTCCTTCAGATGGCTGACATATCACGCCAGCATATATTAGCACATTTGGGGTTTCTCTTTATGTTTGGGAGCTTCTTGTTTATAATTTTTTTAAAGACTTATTTTGATTTTATGTGTATGGGTGTTTTGCCTGAATGTACTTGTACCACATGCATGCCTGGTGTCTGCGGAGGGTGTTGGATCCCCTGGGACTGAAGTTACAGATGGCTGTGAGCCGTCATGGGTGCTGGGAACAAAACTCAGGTCCCCTGCACGGCCACCACGCGCTCTGAAGTGCTGAGCCATCTCTCCAGGCCCTGTGCTTGGTTTTGTTGTATAAAGAATATGAATTGTTGTCAGTGAGCCAACTGCTCTGTCTGTGAGCATCCGTCACATTTGCAGACACCGTGGGTTTCCTGGTGAGCCGCTAAAAAGAAAAGGCTCTATTTAGAGCAACCACATGTTCCTGCGGGGGTGGCCTCAGCACCGCTCAAGGAGGAACTGAGGCTTTAGGACGTCTGCAGCTCTCACTGGGACATGGGCTTTCCAGTTTGTGTGTGCGTGGCTTTTCAATTTTTAAAAGACATTGAAAGTAATTCTTTTGGGTTTTAGGCCTCAACTATCAATTGTGTACAATGGGCTCTCCTGCCAAAGCAAGTTGAAAACCACTGAGTTAGAAGAAATTTGGGGTGTGTGTGTGTGTGTGTGTGTGTGTGTGTGTGTGTGTGTGTGTAAATGTGAATACCGACGTCTGTGGAGTCCAGAAGAGAGAGACAGCTTCCCTGGAGCTGGAGTTACAGATTGTTGTGAGCTGCCTGGTGTATGGGTGCTGGGAACCGAACTCTGGTCCTCTGTAAGAGCAGTATGAGATCTTACATGCTGAGCCATCTCTCTGGCCTCTCCGTCTATTTATAATGGTATCATTTTCTGGCTCACTGGTGGCAACTGGAGTGACAGTTTTTACAGGAGTGGTGAGGAATAGGAACAGACTCCAGCTGACTGGAACCTTAAGCACTTTCCAGAAACCATCAACCGAAGCGGCTCTCTCCTTGAGCCTCTGAACCTTGTGAGGGGAAGAGCCAGCGCGCCTTTGGGAAACTACGAACATAAGCTCATGCACCTAGACAGGACTGCCAGCTACTGCTGAGGGACATGGCTGTCCCTTAGTTGAAGTAATGTGGAGAAAGGTGAGAGGCACGCTGCAGGTCCCCTTCTGGACTTTTGTGCATGGAGAGTGCAGTGGAGGACAGGACTTTACAGCTCTGTAGCCAGGGATCTCCAGAGGGAGGGCTAACCCACGCCAGTGCTCAGGCTGCACTGAGGAGATCAGTCAGAGGAAGTGGGGCAGGGGGAGGCCTGCAGGCTGGCGGAGACACAGGCTCATGGGGAAGTCAAGCAAATGTGTGGGTGAATCTCTTCTTCACTGCTTGGCGTGGGAGCCAGTCTTCTTAACTAGCTGGATACAATGTGACTTAAGCTTTTGGACTCCCTTTAGTAGCATGGGCTCCAAGCGTTAGGTCCAGCAACCGGTGAGGCACAAACCCCAAAACAGCCACATCCTCTTCCTTCTCTCTCAGGAGACATCTTCACCTGAGGGTCATCACTGAGCTGACACACGTCTTCACCTGAGGGTCATCTGAAGGAAGGTTTGCTTCTGTGCCGGCCCTGACTCCTCTATTGGGAACTCCAGTTACAAATTGGATGGCTGACACCAGGCCCACACCCGAGGCTAGACCACGTGGTCTATGAGGCAATGGCTGGCCCCGCCTGACCTCCTGCTGGTTCTTTAGCTTGCCTGCCCAGGAGGTGTACCAGCTTGCTTTCCTGTGTCTAGAAGGAAAAAACAAGAGGCCCTGCCCTTCCTTCTACGTCGCCTCACAGAATGAATGCTGAGCCCGTAGGCCAGATAAGAGGGTCCCCATCCAGGGACTGGATCTTGGGGAAGCAGAGGTCAATCATTCCATGCCTGAGGCTGGGCTGACCTTGGACCCAGGGACAGCTCAGACACCTCATCTTCTCTGTACCCACCTGTGCCAAGCCAGGCAGGCTCCAACCACATAGCCCTTGTAACAGCTTCCCATGCCTATGCCACAAGAGCTTATCACAGGCCCAAATCTCTGTGACACCGCTCTTAGTGACCGGCCTTTGGTGGACACAAGCCTGGGCTCACCCAGGGAAACTGGAGTGCAAGGGCAGCCAGAAACCCCACACGGGCGGGCGAGGATGCAGGCTCTGTGGCTGTGCAGCTTAGGCTGGAGGGAGCCCAGGGAATCGAGGACAGGAGGAGACTCGGAAGAGCAGGCTGAGGCCTGTTCAGTGCAGTTCTGTGATGGCTCCTTGAGGGACAATCTCCCTCATTCCCTGATATTTTCTTTTAGAGAAAATGGTAGGGAGGAGGAGGAGGAGAAGGGAGAGGAAGAGGAAAGCCAGGGCTTGCCACCAACAGGTGACAGGGCCTGGGATTTTGTTCTGCATGGCAACAGCAAGCTGAGAAATGGGCTGGGGAGCAGGCCTGGGTGTCTGGGCTGCCCAAACATAGGTAAGCACCGGACCTTGATGATGCCAAGAACTCAGAAAACCCTGATAGAGAAGGAGCTGAATTCCAGAAGATGTGATGCCCATCTGGCTCACCCCCGGAAGGAAGGTAGGCTCTCTCCTTGAGAACAAGCCTCCTCACAGAGGAGGCCAGACAGTACCTGCTTCTCCTCGAAGAGCCTTCTCCACGGCGACGCCCCTCTCCTCCAGCTGCCTCTGCTTCTCCTCCACCTGCTCCAGTTGCCGCTGGATGATCTACCGAGAGACAGAGCGTAAGCTCCCAGCCTTTCCTCACCTCCCGTTCCCAGGAGGAGAACCAAGCCGCAGACCCACGGGGGGAGAAAGAGAAGCATTGTCAAGACATTGAAAGGGGCATTACAGTCAGTGTGGTGTGCCAGTGCATGCAGTTGGGTCCTGGGGCTTGTTATCTTTCCCTGGAATAGTTCAAAAGCATTTCAAAATGGTTTCATTAAACCTTTACAGTAAGAAGACTTAAAACACTGGATGGAGTGATTAGAAGTTCCGTTTTGATAAGTTAGAAGAGTCTAGGACAGTCTAGGATAGTGGTTCTGAACCTTCTTAATGCTGCGACCCTTTAAGACAGCGCCTCATGTGGTGACTCCCAACCATAACATTATTTCACTGTTACTTCATAACTGTAATTTCTCTACTGTTATGAATCATACTGTAAATATCTGTTTTCCAATGGTCTTAGGCTACCCTTATGAAGAGGTCATGACCCCAAGGTTGAGAGCCACCGGTTTAGGCTGTGAAGCCTGAGGACGGAAACTGACAACCAGAGGTCCTTCTGAGCTTTCCCTGTAAAGTCGCAGACTATTCTGAGCAGAGGTCAGGGCCACGAACTGACCCCTGACACTACGGTTACAAGTGAACTTGCTGATTCTACATCTACTCTAGACTAAGGCTTCCAGGAAACTCAAAGATGGGGCCTCTGTAGAGCATGAAGGTGGAGTACTTGGAGGTTGTTGTCTTGGAAGCCATGAATGCCATCTCTGCTTCTGCCCTGGTGTCTACACCTTCCTTGATGTAGATGAGGCCCGGTGGGGGGCACGGGATGATGCCACCTCACTTCCGCCCCATGTGGTGCCCCCCGGCCGGTGTGTACCTGGGTTGTAGATGGGCCCCTGTGGGGGCACGGGATGATGCCGCCTCACTTCCGCCCCATGTGGTGCCCCCCGGCCGGTGTGTACCTGGGTTGTAGATGGGCCCCTGTGGGGGCACGGGATGATGCCGCCTCACTTCCGCCCCATGTGGCGCCCCCCAGCCGGTGTGTACCTGGGCTCGGTGCAATCGCTTCAGCTCCTCCTGCTTGGCCTGCCTCCGGGCTGCCTTCTGCACACGCCGGGTCAGCTTGGCACTCAGCTCCTCCTCTGTGTAGGTTCTGGGCTAGAGAGGGTGAGAGAGAGCTCCTGAGCGGGCAGCATGCAGGTGGAGGCTGGTTTGGGCGGCAAGCTGGCAAGGGTATGGGGACTGTGGCCTACGTGGGAGCTGTTGCCTGACAGCCAGTGGGGCACGGCAGGTGCAGACGCCCTCTCCTGAGGCGAGGCTAGAGACCTCAACGTGAGACACTTCGCCTCCGTGACAGGGCCAAGAGGCTTAATGTGGAATGAGTGTTAGCAGATTAAACCTCAGACAGACACACCCCTTTGGCGCTGAGGTCGTCATTGCCATGTAAGCAAGCGTGTGTGTGGTTTGTGTTTGTTTTTTTTTCAAGACAGGGTTTCTCTGTGTAGCCCTGGCTGTCCTGGAACTCACTCTGTAGACCAGGCTGGCCTCGAACTCACAGAGAATCGCTGCCGCTGTCTCCTGAGTGCTGGGATCAAAGGCGTGCAACACCACCACTTGGTGTGCCTGGTTGTTTAAGGCACTGTGATGATAAAAACAAAAACACCACAGTAAAATGTTCCCCTAGGCCTCCTATTTCTGAGGCAGACAGGAACAAGAAAAGGTCTGGAAAGTGAGGGCTCTTTCTCCCCCTTGTTTGGGATTACTTTCTCCAGGTGAGAGGGCTCATAGGGTCTAAGTAGCTAACATCTGCAGGGGCGAGGACATGGATGCCTCCATCTGACATCTCAGTGAATCCAGACTAACACAGGTGGAAAAAGGAACAGTGGCGGTGAATGCTTGGGTGTGCAGAGGCAGCGGTTGTCATGGAGACTAAGGGTGGAAATGACCGGGCAGGGTAGCTGGGGTGGAGCCTGTGAGCTTGGAGGAGGCCCCTGGACAAGTCCCATGTAGACAGTGACGGAGGTCCCAGGAACCTGTACACATGGTCCACCACACTCGCAAGCATTCAGTGACAGGACACACTGGGCAGCCACTGAGAAGCGTGAGTGGGGGATTGTCCTCTTTTGTGAGACCCTCCTCATTTCCTCTAAAAAACCAAGAGACCTTCTTGACTGCGAAGGAGACGTCTACATTCAACCTGGGTCCAGACTTATCATCTCTCCTCAAGGAGCTCAGTGATAGCAGTAGGTCAAGTGAACAGGTGGAAGGCGGTCTGTAAGGAGCATTCTAGCATCCCAGTGCCCTGATGGTTCAGAGTGGAGGTGATGACCACCCCTTGCTGGGCTACCCAGACCCGCAGGGGCAGCTCTGCCCCGACCCATGATGACATGCACTCCGGCCAAGGGAAGAGTGACTGTCTCCTCCTCTTTCTGTGACACAACGGAAGAAGGTTTGACGGTGACAGCTGCATGCACGTCTGACAGTTAGTGAGGACGTGGCTGCAGGGCCCAGCAGGGCGGTCCAAGTGGTTAGTCACAGACAGGCATGCAACGAGGACCAGCCAGTGGGAACGAGACACTACCTTTGATGAGTAGGCTCTCCTGAATGCCAAGGCGTGTGGTACATAAATCGACTTTTAAGGGGATGGCAACGGAAAACAAAACAGAACAGCAATGATAATGATGATTAAAATATGAAAACAGAATACAGAAATGGAACAAAATCAGTTAGAGGTTTAAAACAAACACAAGACTCAATCACATGATCATTTCTCACAACGTCACACAAGACTGCACAAGAAGGAACCAGGGTGTACAGACCCTATCGGCCGAGTCTCGCTGAACCCCACTGTTAAATAAAGCTGGGGTTCACTTTTCTATTCACAGAACAGCGTGCCCTGCCTCCTTTGTGTCTGTTTCTTGTTGAGCCCCAGTTTGTTGAAATGTGTGCTGATTGGCCCTCTTCACCCACAGCAGCCCTCCCTTCCTTCCCTTTCCTGCCACTGAACACTTAGCATGAGTGGAAGCTGGAGGCGGGAAGTGGGCGCTGACCCTGCACCCTCTTTTGACAGGTTCTCCAGCCTGGCAGTGTTCTCCAGCAGGGCCCTATAGGTCACAGTGTGATATCCAGCCGTCCTGGGACTAGGCAAACTGGCTCTTTCAGAATTAGACCCCGTGAAGAGAACCAAGGTGTCAAACCACCGTGACGCAGAGAAAGTACCAGTGTTCAGGCGGCCGTGGAAACCTTTTCACTTCACACACTGACCAGAACAGCTCTAGGTCTTGCCCAGGAGCCTTTGCTTCTGTGGTCTTCTCAGGGGTCGGATGAAGTGCCTAAAGGGTCCCTGTGGGCCCAGGCATGGAGGCAATTGGAATTTGGTGGTGTGCAGGACAGAGAGATGCTGAGGGGGGCCCAGTGGGGGACCCACACAGGATTCCACGAGCATGCTGGCTGGGGAACGGATTTGTTGCTTTTAGCTCCAAGCACAGGCATCCTCTCCCCGACAAAGCAAACTGTGAGTGAAGTCCTCATGCAGAACAGCACAGTTTAAAAAGGAAGAGTACAGGCGAGGCCCCCGGCGGCCTACACAGACACACTTCAAGAGTAGCGCCGACACCTGGATCCGTCTGTGGCTGCTGCCCACGCAAGGAGCCACAGCAGTTTCCTTTATTAACTTACCCACTGCTGGCACTGGTACCAACTGGGCAGTGGCAGTAGACAGGGAGGTGAATCACGACACACTTGGGTAAACTGGGGAGAGGGGGCTGAGGGCATGGCTAGCTGGCTGGGGCGGGGGTACAGAGCAGGATGAGGGGCTGGTTGAGTGCCGGGCAGGCCCTGGTGTCCTCAGTGACAAAGAAGCAGCTAGCTGGTCAGGCTGCACTTAAGAGTCGCAGGGAAGCAGGGAAGGGGCCATCAAGAGTTAGCTCTTGTTGGCGGGGCTTTAGGTGGCTAGAAAAACCTGGATTGGCTGGGGAGATACATCTGTTAGTAACGTACTTGTTTTGCAAGCATGAAGATTGTATGTAGGGTTTGAGCTATAAACGCTGCATAAAAAGCCTGGCTTGGTGGGGTGTGCTTGTAACCTCAGAGCCGGGAGGTGGAGGCAGGTGGATCCTGTCTCTCAGGATTTGCCGTCCAGCCAGTCTAGCCTACACGGTAAACTCTGCCACACATGCACACATTAAAAGGTAGACAGACACCAGAGGAGTGACGCTCAAGGTTGTTCTCTAGCTTTTCACACGTACAAATAGAAACACACAAACCCTGAACGATTTATTTTTGGATAACAGACATTTAGGGGAAAACAAGGTTTTGGTTTTATGTGCTTGTGCATCACCACGGCAACCAAACCCAGGCCCTTGTTTCAAGTCCTGACTCAGGGCTTGGGTCTGTGAGACAGGAAGGACTGGCTTCCACCTACACTGCACTGTGGCTGGAGGCTTCCTTTTCCGGGCGAGCAAAAGCCCATTTTCAATCTCGGTCCCCTTGATCCCGACACTTGTGAAAAGAATCTCAAACCCAGAAACACAGAAGGAGGAAGTCAACGATGCTGGAACACCCTTCACCCCGACTCCCAGATGGTGGCACGGCCCCATGCTTCAGGGTGTGGTCTTTACACAGCCTGTTTTTAGACACCAGAGACCCAGTCCCTAAAAGCTTCGGGATGTACTTCTTCCTCAGAAGAGACACATCTGCCCAACAATGCCCGTAGTGCCACCTGCTAGGATCCTGACATCAACTTGATGACAGAGGGCATTTTTTAAAGTTAAACATTACATTTGCCGTTCACCATCAATGCCATCAACAGTTTCAAAGTGTCCTTCGTACTCTTAGGGTTGTTTTGCTCCAGTTTGTCCTCCACTGTAGGTTCCGTATGTGTCCCCCCACCACCTTTGGTGATAAGACAGGATCTTGCTATGTATCTCTGGGTGACCCAGAGAATTTGTGTAATCCTGCCTCAGCCTCCTGAGCGTTAGGGTTGCGCCTTTCCTGGAACTCACTTGGTAGTCCAGGCTGGCCTCGAACTCACAGAGATCCGCCTGGCTCTGCCTCCCGAGTGCTGGGATTAAAGGCGTGCGCCACCACCGCCCGGCTGGGTTCCATGTTTTAAGAACTACTGTGCCCTGCCCTCACTCAGTGAGATGCAATGTCATCCTAAGAGCCATGTTTGCCACTGCCCGGGCCCTGCTTGTCCTCATCATTCCCTATGTGACCATCAGAGAATGACCTTGTCCCTGTGGAGTCCACCTGGTACACAAGGTGTCCAAGGCCCTGCTGTTCTAGGAATCTGTGAATGGCGGATGTCAGTTGTTCACATAACTACAGAAATGAGTTCCTGAGCTCTTCATACTTGTGGTCACTGGGTGGCTATACCAAGATGATGGATTTGGCACAGCTAGTGGGGGAACCTGGCGCTCCCCACTGTGGCAAGATGTTTCATTAACTCATGGAGAAGCGGTATGACCTTGACCACAGTGGCAGCCAGAGATGGAAGATCTGACCAGTGTGATACCAAGTGTCTCAACATGAGCACACTCACCATGGAGGCCAAGGGGACTTTGGGCCACATTCTCTTCTGCTCAGGCTCCTTCAGGACTCCTAAGAAAGCACCTGCCCCCAGTGCTGGGATGAACATATACCCTCCCCACCCCCCATACTACATTCAGACTCATGGTGCAAGAAATGAGGCCTGGCTGCAGGAGACGGAGACAGAAGAGAGGTCTGTGCTTCTTGGTGACTAGGACAGTAGAGAAAGAGCCATCATCACGCCCAGGGAGAGAATATAGAATGAGATGAAAATGCAGATGAATGCAGAAGGAGGCAAGAATAAACTGACTTTTTCCAGTCTGCTGAATTATTCAAAGAGGAACTGAGACAGGCTGGAGGATGGACCTGCGACAGAGGGATACCAGCTCAATGAACAGACACATGTGGGGTGCAGAGCGACCCCAGCCTGCCCTGGCTGGCCTACAGCTCAAGGCTGTTGACAGAGGGAGCAACTTAAGTCCAAGCCTTGAGACGTCACATCAGAAAGGTACGAGGGGTGGCCACTGGTGGGTGCCCATGCCCCAGCGGGTGACTCGGCACCAACACTTTCAATCAGTGCTGCTTCAGGGTCAATTCTCAAAACAGAAAAAGTCCTCTACCTAACAAATGCACCAGGCAGTTAGCTTGGCCAGGCCTACTCCTGAGAGATTCCTGAGGGAGCCACCCGGTCTACCTCCTTTCCAGGCCTGGTGCCCAGTCCAGGCTTGTGTGACTCCAAGCAGTATCTCAGCTCTTCTCTCATCGTCCGGCCCTGGCAGACACTGCTCACAGTGTAATGGCAGGGCTGCTCACCGACAGAGTACCCTGGTCTCTTCAGACTGAGGCAAATCCTCAGCTGTGTATTTCAAAGGCCTGAGAGACCACTCTGTGGCGTCTGCTGTTGGCTGTGGGCTGGTGCAGCACTCCAATGTCTATCTGCTAGGAGACCAGAGCAGGCATTGGTTCTGCACCGCAGCTTTAGACTGGCTGTCACGGTCTGCTTCTCTACCAGAGACTAAATTGATGCTCTGGGGGCTGGAGAGATGGCTCAGGAGTTAGGAGCCCTGGCTGCTCTTCCAGAGGACCTGGGTTCAATTCCCAGCACCCACCTGGCAGCTCACAACTGTCTATAACTCCCGTGCCAGGAGATCTGACACTTTCACACAAATGCACATAAAGTAAAATTAAATAAATTGATGTGTTCATCAGCTCTCTGAAGCCCTTCAGGGACTGGGCGTACCCACCTCTCGCTTGGACTTCTGGGAAGACCTTTCAAGGATGTCATCACTGGACAGGTCTGAGTCCTCTGAGAAACTCAGCTGGCGCCGGAGCTGCAGCTCTGTAGGGTGAGAAGAGGTCAAGTGAAGACAGCCGCCAGTACCTCACGAAATCATGCTGCAGGGAGTCAGATTCCCCTCCCACACAAGGAGACACGGGCTTGTCCCCAAAGGCGACGGGCCAACACCAAACAGATGTCACTCTAGACACCCGTTCAAGACCCCTTGGCAAGACTCGGCTCCACTCAAAATCAGGCCCATGTTTGGAAGGAAGGGTACCAGCAGGAATCTACCCTAGCTAGTTTTCACACTGGCATTAACATTATTCCGTGCAGTGGATCAGGCTGAGGTGCGAACGGCGTGTTCTCCTTAAGAACCCTGGCAGGAGCAGCACAGGAAAGCGGATCTTTTGTAAACTGAATGACTGGGGAGGTACTCCCCCTGCCTGTCCGCATCCCTTGGCCATGCATACCTGTCCTCACGATCGGAGATGCCCTGCGCTGGCCCGAGTCCACTGTGGCACCGCTGGACGGGGTACTGGAGCAGGACTTCTCATCACTCTTCTTCTTCTTGTCCTTCTTGTATCCGGAAAAGACTGACTTCCACAGGGACTTGGGCTTAGCAGCCCCTTCCTCTGGGAGGCCCGGGCTGGGTTTCTCTGGGGGTCGGCCTTCTCCCTTGGATTTCTTCTCTTTCTTGTTCCTGCGCGGGGAGAAGAGGGATGACCTCTTTTTGCTCTTTCCGCTGGAGCCCTCAGACGAGGTGACAGAGCCGTCAGGGCCTCCTGAGTCTGACGGAGGGGAGAGGATCTCCTCACTAGTAGCTTCATGCTTCAGAGTGGGCTCCTGGGAGGCTCGGAGGCCTGAGCGCTTGGTGGACTCCAGTTCCTTGCCCTGGGATGGCGCCGTGCGGGACCTGGAGGCTGCCATCTCCATGGCCTGCATCCTGCTCAGCTGTTTGGCCATGGCATCTCGAAGTGCTTGGCTCTTCACAGACTTCTCCCGGGCTCGCATGCGCTCCTCAGCCAGCTCCTTGGCTTCTGCGGAGACCAGAGGCAGTCCCCTCTTCTGTGGCTGCACATCGCGATCCAGGGGAGGGAGCCGCCCATTCTCCTTGGCCAGGAGCTTCTCTGACCGGGACCAGCAGGAAGGGGGTGTGAAGAACTTCTCCTGCAGACTCGAGTCCTCAGTCTTATCATCGTAGGTGTCCTCCACATCATCAGCAAAGGGGATCTCATCCACGCTCTCCACAAAGGACTTCCGAACCTCCTCTCTCGGGGGCTGCGTTGGCTCCCTTGGGGGCCGCATGAATGGGGCAGGAGGGGGAGGGGGGATAATCGAGGCCTCCCTGTGCTCAAAAGTCTGGTGGGGTTTCCTTCGAAGGGTTGCCGGCTCCTCGTTGGGAGGTGGGGGTGGGGGTGGGCTAGAAGGCGGAGTGAGCATGGTGGAGTCCGAGGTGTTGAAGCTCTGGCTGCCCAAGGTCTTCATGTTGGAGGAGCTGCCATGGAGGCCCAGGCCTGAGCTGCTGGAGAGGTCCCTACGCTCCTCCTGGTTGCTCCTCAGCTCCCTGTCAGAGGGCGACTTTGGGGTCAGCAGTGGGGGCTGGTCACCAGCTGACTTTGGCAGGCCCAACCTTTTAGGAACAGGTGGAGGTTTCAGAAGGCAGAGACCCTCTTCCTGAGGGGACTTGTCAACTGAGTAGGACTTTAGGGATATTGGCTTAAAGGCAGGGGAGGGGAGGCTGGGCTCTGACCCCTTGCTCCGGTCCACAGGGGTGAGGCCCAGGCTGCGGCGGATCTCGGCGCTCTTCATCCAGAACTCCTCCACCAGATCACTCCGCTTCAGGGCCTCCTCCACAGCCAGAGGGCCACTTAGTCTGTCTTTGGGGTCTCCTTGGCTCTTCACAGGGAGTGGGGTCAGGGGTGTGGATGTTTTGGCTGGCACCGGCTGGAAGCGTATGGGGGACTCGGTGGGAGACGGTATGGAGGCATCCGAGGAAGGCTGAGGTTGGGCACAGATGGGGAGCTGGGCGGAGGGAGGCGCGGGAGGGGCCGGCAGAGACTCTGGCTGTAAGCTGCTGGGTGAGGTAGGCGTCCTGGCTTCCGGCAGGGCCACAGGCTGTGATCGGATGGGCGAGTGTGCGGTCTTCTGATCTGTGGGGGCATCAGCTTTGGGCTTTTCTCTGGGGAGCAGAGGCACAGGGAGGAGAGGCTCCTCGGGGGACTTTGTCTTGGTGGCGACAGGGACAAGAGGGGCCTGGGCCCCCTACACAGAAAGAAGAGAACAGCGGTCAGCACCTGCCCTCAGGGAGCCTCTCTCAAGGGGCCTACACTGACTGAGGTAAAACCCTCCCCATCCTTTCGGCCTCCTCATTCTCTGCGCCACTTGTTAACATTTCCAAACCTCCCCACTCGGCTTGGACAGCCCGAGCTTTCAGGGTTGGCTCATCTCACACATAACCTTGGTTCTTGGTCCGCTCACACGAACACTGGCCAAGGACACTAATGAATTTGGCTTTCGTCACAACCCACAATAACCAGAGCTCGGAGACCCGAGGGATAACCCGGGGCTAATGTATGAGAGGACTTAAAGTCATTACTTAGTACTGTTCTCCTCTCCAGCCACACTGTCCCTCCGAGGAACTGTGAGATGCACACAGACCCTCTCCAGCCACACTGTCCCTCCGAGGAACTGTGAGACGCACACAGACCCTCTCCAGCCACACTGTCCCTCTGAGGAACTGTGAGATGCACACAGACCCTCTCCAGCCACACTGTCCCTCCGAGGAACTGTGAGACGCACACTGACCCTTACAATACCCAAACCAGTGCTTCTCACTTCTCAGGTCAATTACTGGACTGCGCCATGTTGCCTGGAGCCCGAGACCAAGGCCTGGGCTTTGACTCTTTCCTGCCCTGCCCTGCACATGGTACTTCCCAGACTAAGAACCTCAGACATAATCAGCATGACACACTCAGGCGTCATTCTCTAAAGTGGTTCTGACGATCTAGAGGCATGTTTTTCATTTAAACAGTTACACTTCATTTTAACATAAAGAAAAGACATACCCGTTATAAACCTCTATCGATGCATAAATATCATTGCATCAACTTAAAAAAATAAACTTGCCAAATATTAAAAAAACAAAACACCTGCCCATCCACAAGGTCTGAGGTAGCTCCTGAAGCCTGTGCCTCGTCAACAGTCTTACCTAGAAATTATATATTTAGAAGTTCACAAAACGAGGTGGTTACAGGGCTGCTTTACCTCTCTTTGTGGGGCTCACACCTGGGACGGAGCCATGTCTCCTCAAGGTCTCAAGGTCCCACTGACCACCCTGTCCCCAGCACTACTTACCTCTGGCCCAGGGCTGTGGGCTGGGGAGAACAGAACATCTTGTTTCTGAGGTGACTGGCTGGGGCTGGAGACTTGGGAAGGACCTGGAAAGGAGGGACATGAGTGTTTATAATAGAAATGAAGTCCCTTCCACTCCACATATACTAGGAGTAGGGAGCAGCCAGATCCATGGAGGGTCTCACACTACAGCCAGCCCCTTGCTGAGGCAGGAGAGCAGGGACTCAGACAGGCTAACACACACTGTGTTCCTGGGTCTGCCCTCAGGTTATTCCAAGAGAAAACAAAAAAAAATCAAGGGAAGGGACTCAAGGAAGGTGCTGCCTGTCCCCTGCATGCTCCATTATAGCTGGCACTCTGGTCATTATGTGTGGTGGCTACGAGCTGTAATGTCTTTGTTCTTCCCATGCTCCCAAACAACCCAAGGAAAGGGACCACTGGCTGCGGCTGTCTGTAGAGATCTGTGGTCTCAGACAGGCAAGGACCAGAACAGGGATGGTTGGGGCTCCTGGCCACCCACAGGGCTAGGCGCAACAGGCTCTATTCTGAAGGCCTCAAGTGGAATTACCGGCATGCCCCTGCGGTCTCTGGCATCCTGGGAGTCGTTCCTCCTGCCCCTACCTCTCTCCTCTGGCTTTGGTGTAGCAGGCGGCTTCTCCTCCTCGGTCTCTGACACTCTCAGCTCCAGCTCGGCTTTCACCTTGGCTTGACGCTGTAAGCGGAGTTCTGTTTCGGCGTCGGAAGGGATGTCATCAGACCAGTGCTGATCTGGGGGAGGTAGGTGAGATACAAACTGTTACACATTTTGAGCCCTGGCCCTGTTCCTTTTCTGTGTCCTGCTTCCTTAGAGAACTGCTCCGTGGGGTGTTCCACTGTGGCATGAGGTCTAAACCAGACACCGCAGCCCCTGAAAACGGAGCCTCTTACCTGAGACAAATCTGACGCAAAGCATCCATCCTGCCTTCTGAGTGTGGGGTTTGTGGAAACCTGTGGTGCTTTTGTTGTGTATGGGGTGTGTGTGTGTGTGTATGGTATGTGTGTGTGTGTGTGTGTGTGTGTCTGCCTGTACTCACCTGTGTGAAGGCCAGAGGTTGACACTGGGTGGCTCCCATTGCTCTTCACCTCATCTTTTTGAGACAAGGCTGCATTAAACCTGGAGCTTGCCTTTCAGCTTAACTGATGGGCCAGTGAGCCCCTGAAGTTGGCCTTCTCTGTCTCCACCCTCCTCCCTGCCGGGGCATGTGTTTACAATGGTGTTAGGTAGGCATGTGTTTACCATGGTGTTAGGGAGCTGAACCAGGTAGTCCTGTCTGTGCGGCAGGCAGCCTGAGGAGCCATCTCCCCAACCCATCTGTCTACTTGTAAAACACAGTGACCCGGACACCAGAGGCTGCGACAGAAGGCAAACAACAACTACCGAAACCCTTTTGGGGGTGCTCGGGGGCTCATTTCCCCTTTCCTTTTTTCCTTTTTTTTAAAAACATTTATTTATTATGTATACAGTGTTCTGTCTGCATGTATGCCTGCAGGCCAGAAGAGGGCACCAGATCTCATTACAGATGGTTGTGAGCCACCATGTGGTTGCTGGGAATTGAACTCAGAACCTCTGGAGGAGCAGCCAGTGCTCTTAACCTCTGAGCCATCTCTCCAGCCCCCATTTCCCCTTTTCTTTCTCCAGAGTTACCCCCCAACCCAGCTGCCCCCCTAAACTTTTGCTGTGAAGTATCTTCTGCGAGTTCCACCCACGCTGGTCCTGTTCCCCATGTGTAACAGGGGGTCACAGAGGTACAGAAGGGAGGCTGGGCCCCGTACCATCCAGTTCAGCACCAGTGTCTCCAGGGTCTCCATCCTCTGCAGCTTCCCCTTCCGTCTCGGCGGGCTCAGAGTCCGCGTCCTCTTCTAGGTCATTCTCATCCAGAGGGGCTGGAAAGCAGAGATATTCACGGACAGGAAGAAAAGGGCGGACAGACAAATAACTGTGCAGGGCGTAGGACGGCAGTGATGCGCAGGCCACGCGGAGAAGGGAGGCCCCTGGACAGATATGGAGTGTGCTCTATAAGCAGCGTGGGTACCATGGCCACTTCTCCACTCTAGTAGGGCCAAGTGGAAGCAGAAGGCAGCTGCTGGCCTGGAGGCATCACCTCTTCCTCCAAGGCTGCTGCTACGAGATCCTCAAGTCAGTCGTAATCAAGGGATGCTATGGGGCCCCAGGCAGCTTTTAATAGTACTTATATAAGAGGCCCAGTGCCGGCCACTTCATGTGTCATGAGGTAGTGATTCCTCATTTTGGGGCAGCCAAAGGGTCCTCATGGCCACCTCTGAGTGACAAAGCTTAGGTCTGACTGTCAAGTGACGTACAGCGGGCGCTGCCCTTCAGTTGCACTGGCACAGGTGGATGCTTTTCTTGAGCTAACTTAGAAGAGTTTGTTAAAGCAAGATGGTGGACCTAAGGGGACATGTAAAGCTCCCTTTCTGGACTCAAGAATAGCTCTGCAGGGCTGCAAAACAAAGTAAGGCTCTCCTCCACTTCCTCTACTGAGGCAGAGAGCCTCTGAGCCTTACAGCACCTGGCCTGTGCCCGCAGAGGATCTGCAGCCAGAGCAGGGGAGAGCAGGTGGAGGACAGAGGCTCCGCCTGGGGATGCTGTCAGCCTGAGGGCAATGCTTTTGACTGACACGGAGTAAGGCATCAGAGCACATCTGGATCTTCTCAAAGCTGAGCTGACTGGGGAAAGGTCAGGCCAACCCACCGGCTCTGTCCCAAGTCAGCACGGGCCACTGAGCTCAGGTGACGACAAAACTTGAGAAAGGGGCTCCCTTAGGGGGTGACACTGGGGGACCGTGGGTAGGAAGCGGCACCTTGAGGATTCTGGGAACGCTGTATTTCCTGACATAGGAGGAGGCAGTTTGAGTTTTGATTTAATTCCCTACATTGTACACTTTTTTTGTACACTTTCTTTTAACATGTAATTCATAAGATGACGATTGTTCAAATCTATGAAGAACTTTCTATGTTTGTTTGTTTTGTTTTAAAAACAGGGTCTCACTATGTAGTTCTGGCTGGCTTGGAACTTGCTATGTTTACCAGGCTGACCTTGAACTCAGAGATCTGCCTACTTATGCCTCCTGAGTGCTGGAATTAAAGGCGTGTGCCACCATGCCCAGATGAACTTTTTCAAACTTCAAACTGGAGAACTATGGCCAACAAGTCTGGAGAAGGGTGACAGCCTGGGTTTAGGAAGTGGTGGCTGCTGAACAGTTAACTTCACCTCCTGCTCTTCCTGAGACACCAGAGCCATCCAGGAGTGGATGCGCCACCAACGCCAACGCACTCTCGTATGGTGACAGCATTTGCTGAGACAAACACTGGAGAAAAACTGCTCAAGGATTCCCACAGGTCTAAAACCTTCAAGTGACCATGCTGCTTTGGGCCACTCATGAAGATGTTCACCAGAGAATGTGGGAACGTGATTTCGGAGACACAAATACCCACTGAACAACACCCTGGGGCCCCGCTTTGTACTCGGATGGTGAGTCTGTCACTGCACTCTGCCATGTCGGGGAATATGAGGCCTCTGGATACCGAATCTGGGCCCATTCCAGAGGGCCTTTGTGTACAACGTGCTTGTTCGAGTGCCTGGCACTGAGGTGGTAACCACATTCTCTCCGGCAAGAAAGCTGGACGCGGCACAAAGGAGACCTGGTTCCCCAGGCTGGCCCAGCCTCCACCCAGCCTGCCCTGGTCCTGGTCTCGTGGTCCTTCCCAGTTTTCCTACTAAGAAACATCTGCTGTAGAGTCGGAAGGGTGGGGATCCTACACTCCTTGGAATACCTTGAAAGAAATGATTATCACACACACCAAAAGCAAACACTCAGAGGGCTATTGGGCAGCGGCAGCGGCAGCAGCGGCAGCGGATGTGTGAGGAGACACAGCTGGAGCGATGGAACTGGAGGATGGAATTCTGGTTAAGATGGAGCGCTGTGCTGGAAGCGGCCACACGAGTGAGGAGCCACACACTACGGAAGCTGCTGCGAGTGGCCATTTATTTCAGCTGCCTGCTAGGACATCCTTTCTGCTCAGTCTCGTTATTCCTCCTTCCTCTAGCTCAAAGGGTGATAACTCAGGGTCAGCCACACTAGACTCCGAGTCCTCTCTCACCTGTGGACCCTCCCACCACATATGTCTACTTTCAGCTGCTTGGGAGGACAATGGTGATAGGTCCACAAGCATCATCCCTACTGGTCCTAGAAGTCACTGCCAGGACACTGGTTCTCAACCGGGGGCAGGGGCGGGTGCTATCTCCTTTTGGGGGGCTCCTGGGGTTAGACGGAGAGTGCTCATCACTGACAGCAGAAGACCATGTGATACCCCGCAGTGGGAAGGACTGTCCTACCCCAAAAGCCAGGCACCCCTCTCCTCGAGAAACAGGTTTCTAGTGAAATGAAGGACAACTGAGGCCTCTCAGGTCGCCTTTGGCCTGCATACTGAGACGCTGTAGTTTAGTCTGGGAACCCAGCTCAGGGACCACCTGGCAGTATCTCAAACAGCTCAGCAGTGCCCATCAGTCCTCGCCTCTCCTCTTAGGCAACCGTTCCGTGAATTCCCGTTTTGGCTGCTCCTCTGACACACTGGTGGGGTTATCTGATTTCACTCCCACCATCCACTGCTACCCAAGCTCATTTCTACAGGTTTAAAACTTCAGCATAAAAAGCTTCCTTTCACAAAAAAAAACAAAAACAAAAACAAAACAAAACAAAAAGCCAGTCGGTGACAGCGCACGCCTCAATCCCAGCACTCGGGAGGCAGAGGTAGCGGATCTTGGAGTTCGAGACTAGCCTGGTCTACAGAGGAAGTTCCAGGACAGCCAGAGCTACACAGAGAAACCCTGTTCTGAAAAACCAAAAACCAACCAAACAAAAAAAAAAGCTTCCTTTCACCTTGGCTTTCCTATCTAACTGCTAATGGTAATTTTTAAAAGGTGTGACTTCATCCTGTCTCCACTGTGGGTCTCCAGTCTGCCTGGGGATGGGGGACGCACTTCCGGTCCATGCATATGGGCTGTCTGACTAAGCATGCACGAGCCCCGCCCACTGGCTCTGCCCTCGCATGCACCAGCGACAGGAGCCGAGTCCTAGAGTTAAGATGCCAGCAGAGCTGCCTAGAGAAAGAGGTTACAATGAACGGGGTGGGGGTGTCACATATCACCAGACTACCTCCGGAGACCGTCTCCAGCCAGGCCTGTACTGCTGCACGGCGTACGGAGGGAAGGCCGGTCACTGAATTTAAAACAGATGATAAATACAGAGTTAAATACTGGTAGGTTCTCAGCAGGGAGAGCTGAAGTCGGTCCTAAAACTCAAAACAGAGGATAAGAAACCAAGACATCGTACTGCAGAGGGCCATCCGGAACTGACACAGGGTGTGTGTGTATGTGTGTGGTCTGATGGCAGCCCATGTGACGGGTATTTGGGACAAAGAGAGAAGACAGAACTCCAGAGAGGTCTGGCTAGGACAGCTGAGTTGTCCCCATCTTGCGGTTCATCTTGATGTCCTAGAGGATTGAAACATCACACGAAGGCCCAAGTTTTCCCATGGACCATAGTGATCTTCTATAGACTCAGAGCCTTACAGGACAGGTAGCCCTGGGTGGCACCACCTGAGCCAGAAATGGTGATGCCACCAAGGGTCCCTACGTGGAAGAAAGATGGCCAAAGAGAACGACATACAGCCACCACACCTCTAAATGGGCTTTGCTTTCTTTTTATTGCTACTCCCTAGAAGAAGCCAGAGGCCGGACATGGTGGTGCCAGCCATTCTGGAGGCGGAGGCAGGAGGATCTTGAGTTCAGGGCCAGCCTGGATAGCTTGGTGAGACTGTCCAAAAAAAATAAGAAAGGAAGAAAGAAAAGACAGAAAGAAAATGGGGGTGGGGAGGGCCAGGCGCAGCAGTGCACATCTTTAATCCTAGTACTTAGAAGGCAGAACAGGGTATGTCTCTGCGAATCTGAGGCCAGCCTGGTCTACACAGCAAGTTCCAGGCTAGCCAGGGATACATAGTAAGACCCTGTTTCAAACAAACAAACAAGAAAGAAGCCAGAATAAAACACATTTTCACCTTAGTGGGAAACACAGACCCCTTCACCTAGAACTTGGAGTTGACAGTGGCACAGAGACCCCAGAGGCCCCCCCAGATGCACCTCTCCTTACTTTCACTTCTAAATACACCCCCTTCTATGGTGATATTTTATTTTGTACTAAAATGTTATTTGTATGTTAATAAATAAAGTTCCCCGGGGGTCAGAGCTATTAGCAAGCCATAGGAAAGCAGGGCAGTGGTGGCGTACGCTTGTAATCCCAGTACTTGGTAGGCAGAGCTGGGTAAGTCTCTGTGTGTTCAAGGACACAGCCAGTATTGGATACATATGCCTTTAATCTCAATACCAACCATAGAAGACCTGGAGGTCTATACAGACAGGCCGTGACGAGGCGGTCATGTGGTTGGGTTTACAACCAAGGAGAAGGCAGAACAGAAAGTCTATATAAAAACTTTAACACAGGAAGTAGCTCTCTTTCGGAGAGGTAGGACCACCGCAGGAGAAAGGGTAAGGTGTTAGCTCTTAGCTCTGACCTCTTGGCTTTCTTCTTTGCATTGGTTCTGTGTTTCTTATTTAATAAGGCGGTTGGTTACATCTACACCCTTCTCTGGTCCTGCCACGCACCCATGTGACACCCACTCTGCCAACACACTCTGGAGAGGGCTAAGAATGTCCTGCTGAGAAACACAGGACAGCAAGGTCTAGGGTCTTCTGAGTCAGGTCATTTTTCTATTTCGCATCAGTAGAGAGAGCCGGCAACCTCATAACTCACAGAGAACTTTACGTATTTTTGAATGAGAGCCAAGGACAGTGGTCCCCCAGCAGACAGGGCCTCTGCAGCTGTGGGAGGGTCTAGGAATGGGTGCTCAGGATGCACCCCGGACTCTGGGGCTCAAAGCAGTTACCTCTAGAAGTGGAGGACTCAGAGGTTGGGAGCATCCTCTCCTCCGCCTCTCTCTCACGGATGTGTGTCCAGTGCACATCAGCCTGGATCGCCAAGGGATCCGCTGCGGTTATGACCTGCTGCAGCCTGTTGTTCCCGGCTAGGATGCCAGGTCCCCAGGAAGGAGAGGACAGGGAGGACAGAGGGAAAGTGGACAGTGAAGGGAAGGAGGGGATGAGACACCACAGGAAAGAAAGAATTACAGTGTTTGCCAGGACCAGTTTGAATCAGAAGAGGTACACACACACACACACACACACACACACACACACACACACACACACACACACACACACGTTCTATTAATTTGGTTTGATTTAGTCATTTTGGGCTTCACATACACTTCTTAGTTCAGTGAGATCCACACACTCCACCTCCAAATGCAGAAGGAATTTGTCCCTTCCATCATGAAATGAATCTGAGGCCCACACCGCCCAGGGTGGAACAGGGCAAATGACCCTCACACCTTTTAAGACCACCACTGCAGGGGCTCAAGGACTCAGCTGTTAGCTAGCACAGCGTGAGCTCAAGAGCACCCTTCCTGGCTATCACAGGCGGGTGAGGACTGTGCCACTCTGCCTGGAGCCAGCCAACTAACCAGGGCAGATATATGCTTTGCCGGGACTTTAGTTTTTACCCTCTGCGGTAAAGCTGATGCTGGAGAGAAAATGTCCTTTGGCCAGAGACCACATGCTGCATGCTGGCGCTGTGGCACTGACATGGGGCAGGTGGTCAGCATTGGAGGGTGGGGATGGCCGCTAGGAGAGGAAGCAGAGATCTGTCCTGTGAAGTCCTGAACTCCAGCATTCCGGCAGGAGTGAGGCCAATGCCCCTGCCCTACTCTGAGGGAAACCCTCCTTTCTCACAAACCCCACCTGAAGCCCGTCCGAGCCCTCTGGGCATGAGATTTGCCTCTCAGCTAAATCAGCACTTACCAGGGCTCTCGCTGGCAGAGCCTGGGCAATTCACATGCAGCCCTTACCCTGCAGGACCCCTCATTAGTGCTTGGATCATGCCACACAGTAGGGTTAAGATAAAGGGACAGCCAGTAACTAAGGAGCACGGGGGTGGGTACTGAGGCAGGGAATCCAAGCTATTCAGGCAGTAAGAGCAGGTGCCACCGATGTGAAGGACGCTGGGGCTTCTGCCAGAAGCCAGCTTCCATCTGGGAGTATATGCTCCCTGTCCCCGACACCCTTAATTGGATACCGCCACTACCAGGACACCTCTGTAACAAAGGAATGAGGATGTGACTTGGCACACGGCACAAGCGGAGTCTCCAATGGGGACAGTAAATTGTACAGTGATGTAGACCAGACTCTTACTGGTCTCCAGAGATTCACAGCCCACCCCCAAAGACAGTCTGCCCAGACGGTGCTGGCGGGGGCTGCTTCACGGCAAACTCACCGACCGCTTAGGAGTGTCAGGACCAGGGAGGGTGAGACAGAGAAAAAGGCCGGTCCTCTGGTCCTTTCTTTGGCTTCTAAGCAACAGAGGGAAGAGTGGAGCCTTTTCTCTGAGTACATGCAGCCTTGTGGTGTGTGTGTGTGTGTGTGTGTGTGTGTGTGTGTGTGTGTGTGTGTGTGTGTGTGTGTGTGTGTGTGTGTGTGTGTTGGGGAGGCATCAGCAGCATGGAGACCCTGGGGTGAGACTGGAGAGCTGTGGCCGGGCAGCGAGGTTTAACTGGATAAAGGGAACTCAGAGCAAAAGCTGCAGGGACAGAGGTGGGGCCCCATTCCACAGACCCCGTTCCTGGTCCTCTGGGAATCTGATGACTCGTGTGCTATTCTGTGCTCTGTCTGTGGAGGCCGTCGGGGCCAGGTGACCAGCTAGGCATGCCCAAAGCCTTTGAGAGCAGCTTTCCGAAAAAGACCTATCCATGTGGGACCTGCTCTTGGAGGTGCATTTTAGATGGCTGCTTGGGAGCCGGGGTGGAGATGGGCAGGGGCAAAGCGGGTACCTTCACTTGTACCCGTTTCTTCTTCTTTTGAGAGGTGCTGGAGCCACTGGCCTTGCAGGAGTTCTCTGTCCCAGGGGCAATACTCCCCTTCTACAGCAGGGGGAGCCAGACACCCATGGACAGCACCAAGAGTCCCACAGGGGGACAAGAGGAGAAGGGAATGGAGGGAGGAAAGAGAACAGAGAGCAGAGTTATCCCAGGGGCACGCAAGAGTGTCCTGCCACTGTCCACACAGGCATCCAGGTGTGCTGCCCCAAAGAGGCAAGGCAGGCTGGGGACAAAGGAACACCGAGGGCTTGGCTGAATGAACTGTGAACTTCCCATCCCGGGAAGTCAAGTTTTCACAAAGGGAAGGAGGGCCAACTCTCCCAGAGTTGTGTTGGGACTAAAAGCTGCTAAGTATTCATCATCATCACATAGAGATAATGGCATCTCAAATGATTCGAACAGAGTACCCTTCCCTGTGGGAGCTGTGAAGGGGATGGACTCACTCTGATGAGTGTGAGCACACGGAAACTCGCCAGCATGGTGAGGCAGACATGACGGAACAGAAAAACCATGCTCTGGCTAGTCCAGTTTCTTTCCAGCACATTCCTTCTTCATGTCTCATGAAACTGAGTGCATCTGCCTAGAACCCACTTTGGCCTTCAGAGGAGTCAGCGCAGGAGGATGAGAGATGACGCTCTCTAAGGAAGATGCCTAAACATCACCAAGTGTCCTACTGACCCCGAGCACACCGGGACGGTCCTGGGCAGCAAGCACACAGAATCCAAGGACAAGCAGAGCTGACTGGGAGGCATTGTTGCCACCGAGAGCTAATTCTCTGTGTCCACGCTGTCAGGAATTTAACCCCTCACTCCGACGCAGGGCTGGAAGAACAAGTGCTTGTCCCTCCCTTTGGCCCTGGGTCCCCGGGGAAGTGAGCACGGCTCTCCTTGGGGAGTCAGATCTCCACAGTCCTGGCTCCTTCCTTACCATCCACAGGCCCTCTGCAGCCAGGGAAAGAGGGACACTCTCTACCCAGCCAAGTTCCTTATGTCTCTAGGCCACAGCCAAACAGGGGGTGGAAGAGAAAAATCTCAAGCTCAATGCAAGAGGAATTTTAGAAGAAACTGGAATGGCTGGAAACTCAAAAACTGAACACATTCTTCAGGCCCTGACGGTTACTGACTATGTGGCTGGAGCCAGTCTAGTGTGCGCCTAAGATCACAGCGGCCTGCTCTCCAGCACCATAGGTGACGTCTCAAAGGAGCTAACTTTGTCTTATAAAGTTCTCTGCATGCAACTGAAGGGGATAAAAGAGATAAAAGAAGGCCGGGCGTGGTGGCGCACGCCTTTAATCCCAGCACTCGGGAGGCAGAGGCAGGCGGATCTCTGTGAGTTCGAGGCCAGCCTGGTCTCCAAAGCGAGTTCCAGGAAAGGCGCAAAGCTACACAGAGAAACCCTGTCTCGAAAAACCAAAAAAAAAAAAAAAAAAAAAAAAAAAAAAGAGATAAAAGATAAAATAAAAAACAGAAGCCACCTAATTTGGACACGGTCCTCAGATGAGCCCTGCCTCCCACCTCCAGTTAAAAATACGAATGCAGACAGGGGACATTTTTCTCAGTCTGCCAGACACTGCATCCTACATAAGGTCTGGAAGAAGTGAGGGCCAGAAAACCTCAGGTCCTGAGGGAAGCATCCAGACTCTAACGTCCACGATACCTCTTACACTCATACCAGAAACACAGCCAAGGGGATAGGAGGGGGGATGAGGTCAGGACTAGAGACGCTTCTGACCTTCACTGGACTCCTCCTCTTCCTCTTCGTCATATTCTTCCTCCTCCTCTTCCTCTTCATACTCCTCCTCTTCTTCCTCCTCTTCCTCAGGCTCGAAGTTCTTGGAGGCCTCTAGCTCCTCCTCACTTCTTCCCTTCAGAAGGGCATGAATCCTTACTGCCTCCTTCCAGGGAACCCCGCCCAGATCAGAGGTGGGGAGCTGATCGTCCTCATCCTCCTCCTCTTCCTCCTCCTCCATCTCCGACTCGGAACTGCTGAGAAGAAACCACAGAGCCTGGGTGAAGGGATGGCAGCATGTGGAGAGAAAGGTTCAAAGCCACTGTCACCAGTAGCAGTTCCCAATAAAGCAAGGGAGAGGAAGCAGGCCAGGCTGGTACCCTTCTTCAGCCAGGGAAGAAACAGGAAGGAACGCACTAATGGAGCAGGATGACAGACCCACCCAAGGAGCAACCTGGCTCGTGGGGCACTGTGGCTACTCATGGCACACCAAAACTGGAGAGAAGGTCCTTGCTTGCCATTGTTTGGCTGGAGAACTCAATTAGACTCTATGCACATTGGCTAGAAGATTCCAGTGAAAACCATGGGTGGGTAGAGCTGGAGAAGAAGCCCCAAGAGGCTGAACTGGTAGGCATTAGTCAGTGTGTGTGTGTGTGTGTGTGTGTGTGTGTGTGTGTGTGTGTGTGTGTGTGCGCGCGAGCGCATGTGCACAGGACTGAGGACAAGGCAGCAGATCCAATTCTCTGTGTTCAAGGAAACCCCTCTATGGAGCACGCCACACAGGTGAAGGGCAGCGAAGGCCCCACACCCAGCACAGGTATAGCAGGGACTGTACCAAAGGCCCCAGCTCCTGAGGTCACCCTCATTCTCATCTGTCCCTGTCACAGCACGAGGCCAGCTCAGCTTGGGCTGAAAGCGGTACTACACTCAACAACTTCTGTAAAGACAAAATTTGCTCCCCAGAGCCCCTTTGTACATGGGAACCCAAGCCATGCTGGAATGCAGGCAATGGTACTCACTTCCAGAGCTCTGTCTGATGGGGGCATCTAGGGTGACATCTGGTCACACTCAGTCTGAATATAGGGACCGGTCACACTGGGAAAAAAGCCAAAAGACTTTTTTTTTCCCCAGGGGAAAGAGGGGCTTTAGGTTGACCTGAAGACTAGATCGACCCCATGGACTATCAAAAATTACTATGTACGTAATGGAGCCCCAATAAAAACTCCAAAGTTCCAGGTCTGAGTGAATGGGAGATCACATGTAGAAACAGGACAGGAATGCTGTCCCTACTCCATAGGAGCAGGACAAAAGCAGCTCCAACTCTGAGAGCCTCCTGGACTCTCCATGAGAAAGTCTTTCCCCACACTGTAAACAGGCCCTAGCCATGAGCATGACAGCTTCCAGAAAGTTCTGAGTCCTTCTCAAGCAGCTGAGCCTCATGGTGCTTCTGGCAAACTCCTGTGCTTGTGAGGAGAATGCACCCCCTCTTGTCTGCGGGCTGACGTCTCACAGGGACACGCTGACATCTCTCCTGCAGGCTGCGTACACCCCCCTCCCCTCTGCCTCTGTTCCACCTAGCTGGTCATTAATGACCCTTCCTCCCACTGTAACAGATCCTAGCCATGAGCACGACAGCTTCGAGAAAGTTCTGAGTCCTTCTCAAGTGGCTGAGCTTCATGGTGCTGTGGTCCCCAGCAGGTAGGCCACGTGATGCCTGCCTAACAGGTATGTGGTGAAAGCTAGGGATATCAGATTGTCACTATTCTTACACTGTTTATTCACTTCCACAATCACTCACCCATTCATTCATGAATTCTTTTTTTTTTTTCTTGAGACAGGGTCCCATTATATAGTCCAGGACTATATAATATAATCATCAGTCCTCTTGAGTGATGGGTGTTATAGGTGTGTACGGCCATGTATCACTTAAAGAACCTTCTGAGACCTGCTATTCAGCTCAGCCAATGGACACATTCACTCGGCTGAAGTAGACTGAGTCTTCGTGCACCATACTCATTGACTAGTGGAAATGGCAAAGGTGACCCAGGAAAGCCCATGCATACCATAAGGTATGTGTGGGGGGTAGTGTGGAAGAGACCCAGGAGGAGGTAGTTTAAAGTCTAAACATCTGGCCAGGTGTGGTGGTGCATGCCTGTAATGCTGGAACTTGGGAAGCAGAGGTGAGGGTCACTGCATGTTGGAGGCTAGCCTGGTTTACACAAGTTCCAGGCCAGCCAGGGCTACAGAGCGAGACCATGACTGAAAAAACAAACAAACAAACAAACAAACACCAACCACAAGAAAAGAGGGGAAATAAAAGGACAGGATGGAAAGCGTGGCACCTGACTTCTGAACATTTCCCACCGTTGTTTTTACTGCTCACGTTTCTCTGCTTACGTGTTTTCACTAGTTCACTTTCTCCTTAATGACATGGGCTGTGGGTGCCACTCACCGATGCTCACATCTGGAGTAAGGACATGGAGACTTCTGCACTCATCCTCGATTTCCTGTCCCTCCACCAGGGCTCAGTGTGCCCAGTGGCTTGTCTAGACAGGCTGGGAGGGGCCCGAGTGCGGCCTGACCTTACCCGAGTCATGTTGTTAGGACGGCTGTACCGGGTGTAATTCGGGTGATGAGTACATCTCGCTGTGATGATGACAATGAAGCCCGGGATGGCTATGAGTGCCACTCCAGACAGTTTTATGACAGCGCAGGGGTTGTGAGAGCATGACAGCAGGAAAGGTCAGTCCTCACTTTCCTCTGCCAGCTGTGAGCATAAGCATTTGCAAGAGGCATGTCTATTTGCTCCTGCAAAGCAGCCTCCCTAACTGCAGAGAGGACAGAGAGAAACCCGCTGGAGCCAGTAGAAACATCTTTCCAGCTACGTCTATCGGAGGACCTTAGGGCCACTTTGAGGGCTGCCCAGCTCTTACATCACACAAGACTCAAGGTGTAAATCCAGGGCCTCGTGCATGCCTGGTAAGTACTGCACACTGAGCTACACCCTCAGCCTCAAGGCTCGCTTCAGATCCCCCTGGTGACCCAGGCACCTGAACCTCAGGTCTTGGCCTGCTGAAGCTGAGCACGCCTAACGAAGACAGAAGGGAGTCAGGACTTCAGCAGTGTGCCCAGGCTCTTCATTCCTTCCCCCAGAACCCAACAGTGTGATTCAGTGCCAGCAGCTGCTGGGGTGCTACTCCCCACAAATCTGGTCCAGTCCCACGGCTCTGAGATGGATCTTATGGAGTTCTAGGTCAAGCTCCCTAGGGTCCCCTCTCTTCCTCCTTCTCTTTCCTTCTTCTGGACCTCATGTAGTGCAGGCTGACCTCAAATTTGCTATGTAGCAAGGATGACCTCGAACTTCCCATCTTTCCGCCTCCACCTCCCAAATACCAGGATTACAGGAGCACAAAGCCACATGCTCCTGTGCTGGGGATTCAATCTAGGGCTCCGCGTATGTTAGGCGAGCACTCCACGGACTGAACTACATCCTCAGCTCCCTCCCGTCGTGACTGGAGGGAAACAGGGAACAAATGGCTTTGGCTCAGGTTAAGCTGCCAGTCAGCGATGATTCCAGTCTGCTCTGCCGCACCCCTGGGTCTCAGTGACCCTGACAACACTCTGCTGCCAGGCAGGGGGCTAGAGAAGGCGCACATTGTTCTCTACATTCACCCCCTGGAAATCGCGCATGCGGATCAGCCAGGGCTGGCATTCCTTACTGCCTCTGCAGGAAAAGGGGCTGAAGCTGGAAGAAAGGGGCAGACAGGGACTCCTGTTCATTCACGGTCTGCTTGGAGACTGGCTTCTCCTCTTGTTGCTCTGCGGGTGACATCAACCTTGGGGAGTCCCCTGAAACTCTGACTGTCCCATCTGCAAAAGGCACTTGTTTGTTCCAGGGGCTCACTAACTTCATTTTTCAGATTTATCAGTTTCTTATGTGTATGAATGTTTTGCATGTCTGTGCACCACATGCATGCCTGGTGCCTTCAGAGATCAGAAGAGGGTGTCAGATTCTGTGGAAATGGACTTACAGAAGGCTGTGAGCCACCATGTGGGTGCTGGGAATCGAACTTGGGTCCTCTGCAAGAGCAACAAGTGCTCTTAAGCAATGAGTCCTCTCTCAGCCTCTGAGTATTCTTCAGAGGTAATGGAGAGCAGGCAGTGAAGGACATAATAGCTGGGCTGTACACAGGCCACCTTCCTAAACATGGGGTCAGTTCTCCCTGACCCACCCTCCCCAAAACACACACACACACACACACACACACACACACACACACACAAGTGCCTCCCGGAGACTTCCAGAAGTCTGCAAGGAGAACTTGGAAAGCTGATGAGGCCTTGTCACGGGTCTGTGACACGGTTTAGGACCGCAGGCACCATGTGAACTAAACCATAGAGGTGATTATAAGAATCTCCCAGGATGTCTGCTGACCCTGCAGACCTCAGACACCCTGGAAACCAGTTTCCAGAGCTTGTCTCCTGATACCAGCCTTACTGTTAAAAGGACGGTTCTCAGGCAGGGAGATCAATAGTTCAAGGCCAACTTGGGTTACATGAGAAGGAAGAATGAATGAATGAATGAATGAATGAATGAACTTCCCAGAACAGTAGAATGGCCCCTCAGCCCAGTACCTGCTACATAGGTAGCTATGATACAGAGATGTGGATGAGCAGTGCCCAGGGCAGGGTAAGCTTGAGCCAATCAGGTTCTGGCTCTTCACCCACCTGTTGATGGAAACCACCCGCATCCCTGGCATACTCCACTAGAGAGGGTTGCTGAGCTGTAATGGGATGTGTGAGTAGTGACTGCTGACACCAACCTGGTGACCACTGGGTGCCTGACATTCATTCATGTAATTGTTCATGATAAACTCAGGACACACAATGGCCTTTTCAGATGGGGAAACTGAGGCACACGGCATAAGTGCTTTGCTAGCAGTCAGTGGGTGGTAGAGCTGGACTTGAAGTATAGGTCTGATTCCAAAGCCATGGAAATCTCTCTGAATTGGGGGAGAACAAGCTCCTGGGCTGGACCAGAAAATTCATTCATGCATGCACTTATGCATTCATTCATCCATTCATTCTTCCTTCTCATGTAACCCAAGTTGGCCTTGAACTCTTGATCTCCTTGCCTCTGGGATTACAGGCATATACCACTATGCCCGGCTTGGACAAGGTGATTTTCTTTTTTTTTTTTTGAGACAGGGTTTCTCTGTGTAGCTTTGCACCTTTCCTGGAACTCACTCTGTAGCCCAGGCTGGCCTCGAACTCACAGAGATCTGCCTGCCTCTGCCTCCCGAGTGCTGGGATTAAAGGCGTGCGCCACCCCCCAACCCCCACCCCCCGCTGACAAGGTGATTCTTAAAAGATGTCAGTTCTCACGGTCAGGGCCAACCCTCACTAAGGAGGCTGAAAGCTGCAAATGCACAGCTGACTGAACCTGAATTTGGTACCATAGGGAAGATGGGTAGAACACATCTGTTTCAGGCACCTTTCCACTTCCTAGGGAAGTGAGGCAAAATCCGTAATTCCTGCTCTGAGGCCCCTCACTTTATGAAGCATTTGATATGGGTTTATTATGATTTTTTTCCCCATTTTTAGAAAAGATCTTTCATTTATGTTCACACTGTCCAAGATAGAACCCACGTTTTGAACATGTAAGGTGAAGGCGCTCCTACCATACCTACGCTCCTGTGTGCTCCCCCTCCTTAATAGAATTTAAACGGGCATTTTTGTACTAGACAGATGCTGATTTCATGGCTGACCCCCGCGCATCCCAAGGTTAGGCCACGGCTCTGCTCAAGGGCTTGTCAATGTGCTTGGCTGAGCCGTGGGGCTGGCAACAAGAGCAGATGGCTCTCCTTCACCCGAGGGCAGGGGTGGAGGGTGTGTCCCCACGGGCACTCTGGATGCACTGCAGTTATATGACTGTGGCCAGAGGTCAGTGAAGGCTCTGGAACTGTGCCAACACGGCTGTCTCTTGAGTGTGCAGGGGAGCTGTCTGTGGGGCCAGCCCAAGGGGCAGCTCATCATAGTGCTCGCCCCAGATCTTCCTGCTAGGATGCAGCTGAAAGCAACTCTACTCAGAAACGCACTCGGGGAGAGTCTCGGGCTGTTCAAGAAAGGCTGCCTCATCTATCACCACACATCTGCTCATCACCTCTGACTCAACGTTCTGGGTCTGGAGTCTCAGCTCTGGCACAGGAGTCCTGTGAGAGAGTCTGGCTCATATGGACTCTGCCCTTCCTCATCATCCTGTTCTCTCCCACATCCACTGACACAAAAGACTCAGTGTAGTGGGCAGCTGTTCCAGCTTTGATCTGGAAGTCCCAACTCCCATTGAGGCTTTGGGAACTGTCAGGCCTACAAGGCGGGGCCGAGAGAGGACCCTGAAGACCCGAGATCCGGATGCGCCGGCTCTCTTGGTTCCTGGACCCAGGACGCTGAAGCTGAAGGAGACTGAGCAGAGTTCTCCAGAGAACACCGCCGGACTGTGCTACACCTTTCCCAGACCCTGTAACCAATCCCTTCACTTGTAAGATACCCCACAAAAAAACCTCCCTCTTAACTATGTGGAGTGGCCTTAATATTTTAACCAATACTCTGGGCCACGAAAGCATCATATACAGGTTCCACTGCTGGGGTGAGAGGATGCATGCTTGGTCCTGAAGACACTGGTCAGCTAAACAGAACCGCACTGATTGGAGAAGTCAGACCCCTCCTGCGTGTGGCCCCTGGCAGGCAAGGTTCCTGCCCCTCTCTTTAACCACAGAGAGGTGAGGTGGCTTCCCAAAGGCTGCAGAGTAACCAGTGGCCGAGTCACCTCTCCTCGGAGCCCAGAATCTTCTGCGGAAACACCCGCTCCGAGGAGGCTCGCTCTTTTCAGCTTGCTTTCCTTCCTGTGGCGGTCCTTCCCCTCCCACGGACTTGGAAGCAACAGCTGGCAGATGGCAAGTGTGACTTACCGTTCCTGTTACCTTCCCAACGAGTCCCAAAGTGCTAGGGAAGCCGGCTGCATTCAGGACATCTTACAGATCGTGGCCCTTTCCAACCCTGCTCCACCGAGTGAAGGCTACCTACACTGCTCTAGACTTACAGGGTCACACGGCAACCGTGTCTGACCTCGATGCTGTAGGGAAAACATAGCGCAGGGCGGCAGGGAAAACAGGAATGACTCAGGGCCTGGACCTAGGAAGTCTGAGCTGGAATTTCGGGTCCTGTCCTAGTTACATCAGTTTGCTCCCCTACAAGGGGACAACACACATGGCCCACATCTATCCCTAGGACTCTCAGGAACACATACATGGTCAGCACCATACAGAGAAAACTCCAAATGCTTAGACATGCTAAGGACTGCTTTAAACACAGGGTTCCGATCTGTTCCTTAACCTTCACACTGATTCTGAGGAAGACACTAGGGGTGTTACGTCATAGATGAAGAAACAGAGGGACTTGCCTACTTCACAGCTGAGAAGCAAAAAAACCAAGATTCCAACCCAATCAAACTGGTTCAAATTCCCTTGCTCATCAAGCTCTTTTGCTGCCAGCTGAATCCAGGGACCCAGGAAGACCTCTGCCCCAGGGACCCCCGGTAGCCAGGCAAACCACGGGCATGGGCTGACCTGCTGACTGCATCCTCTTCGGTGCCCTTGTCTAGTACGCTGCTCAGGTTATGCTCGGCCTGTGTCTCCTCGGGCACCTCCTCCAGCTCCTCTACCTGCCTCACAGATGGGCGGTAGTTCTCCAGCTCGATCCTCTCAGGGGTGCCTCTCAGCCTCTTGGCGATGCTGGGCTCCTCCAGGCCATTCATGCTGGAACCTGTGGGAAAAGCAAACAGGCAAGCTCTGAGGATGAAGCGCAGAAGCGGAACTCCAGCAGTGGATGACGGGAGCTGGTGCGGGATGAAAGGGAATGTTGACCATTGGGACAGCCATAACCCATTTCTCAGAAGAGATACATGGTCCTCCGGGAAGTCAGAACATGGGCAACTGAAAGCCGAAGGGCTGAGGACTGGCCTGAGGGCGGGAAATGAGGCTGGGAGGTGGGGCAACACTTCCCTAAGTAGGAGACACAGAGACCACACATCCTCATCTACTTCCCGTCAAGTCAGGATGCCACCTAACAGGTGACAGTGACTGGTTTGGGGGGAAGGGTCTGTGTAGGGCCTTCAGATGGGTCTCTCATCACCAGTGAATTAGGAGATTCACAGAGAGGGTGTCGGACTTCTAGTGGCCCGCTCCAGGATGGACTGAAGTCTGGCAGCACTCTGCTAAGGCTGACCTGCAGGTTACATAGCACCTGCCTGTGTCCTGCCGCCACGCATGTGGTAAAGATTCTGCAGAACAAAGCACGCCACAAAGGTGGTGCCGAGCCCTCCGCACGGCTGTTCAGTGGAGAACAGAGTCAGGCTTGGCAGTGTGGGGCCGGTGTGCCTACCACCTTAGCAGCACACAAGTACACTTTCGCTGTAGACATTCAGCTCTGAGGCAAGACTTAGCAATCACACGGTGCTCTGCCCCCGTCACTCTTTCACTCAGGGACCTGAGCTTCTGTCAGTGATCTCTGCTTGTCAACTAGAATGACCGGGGTCACCAGCAGGTCCTTTCTGGAATTCTATCATTCTTCTGGTATCTCTTGCTTTTAAGTATTTTTGAGTAACACCATATACTCAACAGTGTTTCGAACTTAAAACACTACATACAAAGCCTCCCTGTCTCTTTAGTTTCCTTCAGTCTACAGCAGGTGCCCTGTCTCTTACCCCCACGGTTCCCCTCTGACACTCTACCCCCCAAGTCCTGGTCAGAGGCCCCTCGTTTATTCCACAGAGTGCCCGCTGTGCCATGACACCACACAGGTACACCCAGATAAACCCAGGTCTGACCCTGACTCCACCAGGGACTGGCAGTGTCGGAACATGGTCCAAGAATGGAGTCGTGTGAGAAGAATTCTGAATGCTTGTGAGAAAATGCCAAGAAAACAAGACGAGAGTCTTGTGACCTTAGTTTCTTCAAAACAAGACATTGTTCTTATAATGTGTCTTTGTGCCCCTCTCAAGTGTAACAGATAGAAGTGAGTTTACTTCCGATTACTCCTCACAACTGGCTACTGTTATTTGTTTATATGCTTCTATGGAAAAACATGCTTTTCCTGTGTGCAACTTGTCCTTGTGATGGTATACAGTTTGAACTCATGAGAACTTACCCATGTGATTTTTTTTTTTAGCCCTCAGAGTATAAATTGTCTGGTGCTCTGAATAAAGTTGGATATTGTGTGAGACTTTAGTTGGCCTCATTTTTAGGCTCTATTCTCCCAGGTCCCACTGCCTCTATAGCAGTGAACATGGCAGAAAGATCTTAGAAAAACTACAACCTTCTCAACGTCATACCCTGGCCTGTGGACAGGATGATGCCTGCCTCCTATGGCTGGTATGGATGTGAGGGTGCCAACTCTGGACCCCCAGCATATCAGCTACCACCTTCTTCTCCCACAAGGCAGCATTCAGCAAGTACGGGTGAAGACACATACCCGATGCCCAGTAACATTCGTGCATCCCTGTGGTGTGTAGTCACACCCAGGAGTTGAGAGCCATTTACTCTGGACCATAAACTCAGTCACCCAATAGAGACAGAAGGCAGAGGTGGCAGCCCTGGGCTAAATGCACACACACTTGTGCTTTAAGAGACAAAAGAAAAGGTAGGAGCAGCTAGCAAAGCAGGTAAAGCACTCTTCACAGCATCCTGATGACGTGAGATCAATCCAGAATACATGCAGAGGTGGAAGGAGAGGACCAATTCCATGAAGCTGTCCTTTGACCTCTATAGATGCGTTGTGGCACACCCTCCACACCGCACATACATACAACAATAATAAATGAAGTTGGTGTTTTGTTTTCAAACAGCAAAGACAGAGCCCAGGCGAGAGAGGGTCAGGAATGACCACAGGTTCCCACCAGCAGGTCCCTGGCTGATGCCGCATTCTAAGCACCAACAGATAATACCGGAGGTTTTGCACACAGTCCCACACCAACCCAATTCGGGATGACAGGTCTCTTCTCAGGCAGACCTGAAAGAGTTGAGCAACTCTGGTATCCTGACTAGCTGAACAGGAAATGCTTTGAGGGCTGGCACTTCCGTTGTGTACAGCTTTTTGCTGTTGAGACAGGGTCTCTAGCCCAGGCTGGCCTCAAATTCACTATAGCCAAGGATGATCCTCCTGCCTCCCAAGTGCGGGGATTAGAGGCATGTGTCACCCTACCTGGTTCAATTGATACTGGGGATTGAATGCAGGGCCTCATGAATGATGGGCAAGAACTGACCCACAGTCCCAGTCTCTAAGTGTTTTCAACTCTTTTGCCACGGCACGGGAGGGTTTTTTAACAGGCAGGTACAGGGTTTGGTCATCACATCTGCTGCACTGCTGTGGGATAGTTTGTATGTCAAATTGCTCTGATTGGTCAATAAATAAAACACTGATTGGCCAGTGGCTAGGCAGGAAGTATAGGCGGGACTAACAGAGAGGAGAAAAGAAAGAACAGGAAGGCAGAAGGAGTCACTGCCAGCCGCCGCCATGACAAGCAGCATGTGAAGATGCTGGTAAGCCACAAGCCACGTGGCAAGGTATAGATTTATGGAAATGGATTAATTTAAGCTGTAAGAAACAGTTAGCAAGAAGCCTGCCACGGTCATACAGTTTGTAACCAATATAAGTCTCTGTGTTTACTTGGTTGGGTCTGAGTGGCTGTGGGACTGATGGGTGACAGAGATTTGTCCTGACTGTGGGCCAGGCAGGAAAACTCTAGCTACACTGCACTCCCCAGGTTCTTCTACAGCAGCATCATCCAAGGTGACCAGAAAATCTTTACTGAAAAGCAAGTTGTTCTGATGCTAAGTTTGCTAATCCAGGCAAGAGTGTTCGGATGGGATCTGACCACACATCCTGTGTTTACCTCTTTAGTCTGCTCACCCTCGGAGAGAGAGAGCATCACTTTAAATACCCTGCTCCATTTTCAACACAAAGTTCACAGCCTCGACAGTATAAGCTACACACACATGACTGGATGAGGGTGTCTGGGAGCTAACTGCACAGACTACAGGAGATGGGCAGGCAGCTAAGCAAGGAGATCCCATTCATTCTGCAAAGCTGGCTGCCCAGGCCTCAGGAGGGCACAGGCTCCCCGGCGCTGCTTCATCCGATCTTTCTTTCCTCATCAACGCCCACCGGCTCCACATGATATACACGGGCAAGCAAGCCGAGGACTCTCTGACCACTCACAGTGGGACTCTTTCTCAGCATGAGCCTGACAACTGCTCTGGCATGGAATAAGCCTCCCCTCCCAGGAACTAATATGGAACAATACCAGTACTTCTTCTGGAGGGGAAGAGAAACTACCCCTTTGGGGCAAACAACTAACGTCCATCAGTTCTAACCCCAGCAAGTTCAAGATGGAGTGAGCAGACATCCATGTGGAGACACTGGAGAAGCAAAGTCACATCTGCGGTGTGCTGGGAACTCTGAGAACCTCAGGAAAGACGGCGGATGAAAATCTTTCCATTCTTCCATAGACTTGTGGACAGCATGTCAGGTGTAAGTTATGAAGCAGTACGACAGACGCATGCTCGTGGGGCCATGGGAGTATCTAAGGGAGCAGCGTCGTGTCCTGGGTATTCAGGTCTGCTGAAGGACTATGTAGTCAACTGACTTCAGAAAACACTCTGTAAGCCGGGCGGTGGTGGTGCACGCCTTTAATCCCAGCACTCGGGAGGCAGAGCCAGGCGGATCTCTGTGAGTTCAAGGCCAGCCTGGTCTACAGAGTGAGATCCTGGATAGGCACCAAAACTGCACTGAGAAACCCTGTCTTGAAAAAACAAAACAAAACAAAAACAAAAACACTCTGCAAGGCTGGCACTACACTTTGTAAACCGGGTAATTAAGTCTGCAGACACCTAGGTGCCTGAGGTTACACAGTTTGTGGCGGTGGTACTAAGGCTTGAACTTTAGGAGGACAGCAGTAACTCAAGTGACCACCATGCCGTCCCTGGACTTGTAGAGTCCCAGTCATCCCTCCCTTTGAGGCTTCACCATGCTGTCCTCCTCTGGTTCTTTATATGAGACAATGTCTTGAAACAGAGAAGCCAGAGTCTGGCATGGCAGGCATTCTGTCCTCTGCCCGGTGTTATTTCTCTTGAGAGTATCCAAACTGCAGACGAATGGATCATCAAGCACCAGAACTTGGCACTCCAAGCCCAGACTCCGAGACCAGACCTCCTCTAGGGAGGAGACATGCTAGAAACAACAAAAAGAAGCAGGCCAGAGTCGGAACTGTTCAGACCACTCACACCTCAGGCGCTAGACGAAGAATGCTCTGCTAACTTCAAGTATCTTACTGGAGATTTTGCAAAAATAAGGTTAAAGGTCTGACGTGGCTTGCAATTATAATCCCAGCACTCAGGAGGCCGAGGCAGGAGCACCGAGATGAGCTCGGGCTACACAGCAAGACCCTGTCTCAAACGCAAAACCATCAAACAAAAACAAAGGGGAAGCTGGGTGTTACCGTGCACGCCTTTAATCCTAGCACTTGGAAAGCAGAGGCAGGCAGAACTCTGTGAGTTCAAGGCCAGCCAGGCTACATAGCGAGACCCTGCCTCAAAAACAACAACAAAACCAAAACAAAACAGAAAAAAAAAAAAGTAGGGGGAAGTAAAGGACTGGGAATGCAGCTCCATTTGAAGACTGCTTGCTGAGCATTCATGAGGCCCCAGGGTTCAGTCCAAACAGCACAGAAACCAGGTGTGGTAGCAGACCAGAAATTCAAGGTAATT